TTCGGTAAAAAATCATTACATTTAGTTAAAAAGTGCTCTACTGCTCTACACCCGTACGTATGTGGTATGTTACTGTAAAGAGCAGTTACATCGCATGTAACTAAGAAGCAATCGGAATTTCAAATAGTTTTTTCTAAAAGATTTAAAACAGTGATGGTATCCTTAATATGGGATTTAGTTTGCATTACTAGTGGTTGTAACTGTACATCTATATATTGAGATAATTTACTAGAGACAGAATCTATTCCTGCTATTATGGGTCTACCTGGGGGTTTATTAATATCCTTATGAACTTTGGGTAAAAAATAAAAAACTGGAGTCTTTGGAAACTTAATATTCAGATATTGGAATTCTTTAAGGTCCAGAATTTTTTCATTTAAACCTTTCTCAAAAAACGTTCGAAATATCTTATTTATCTCATCACTTGGATTTTTACTTAACTGTTGGTAAGTGTTTACATCTTTTAGAATATTTTCCGCTTTCATATTATAGAATGATTTCGACATTAGGATTATACCCCCACCTTTATCTGCGGGTTTCACAATTAAATCATCATCTGTCTGTATATCTTTCAAGGCCTTTTTCTCCATTGGGGTTAAATTATTCCTAAAATTGTCTTTAGAGCTTATTTTATTAATTTCTGTCATAACCATAGTTTCAAAAGAGATCATTTCATCAGAAATCATTTGTTTTGGATAAAAGGTCGATTTGTTTTTTAAGGTTGTATGTTTAAAATCCGGTACCTCTGTTGAATAGATTTCTGAATTCAAATGATCCCTATTTACTGGATTTTTAATAAAAAAAAATTTCAAACACAGACTTCCTTTAAACCGATTTATATCAATATACATGTCAAAATGATTAAGGCCTGTATTTGGCGCGAATTTAAGTCCTTTATTTAGTACAGATATATGGTTAGAGTCTAGAACTTTATTACTTAAGTTGAAAATGCCTTGCATTAATTTCTTAGGTGTATTTCTCTTCTTTTTGGCCTGTGCAAATTTCCCTCCCCTTGTTCCTCTGAGGGTGATACCCTTCTCTTTCTGGGGTTGATAGGAGTATCTGTTTCTTGGTCTATCTTGTGTCTGTCTTTCATCTTAAAAATTAATAAAAGAGAAATGATTTTACCCCTATTTTTAAGTTCTTGAGGTTTGTAGGAGGTTCTAACAACATATTCTTAGTTATATATGTATAGGTTTTTTATACTGTTTTATGTCCTTTTATGTATTCATGACTCTTTTTGATTTATGGAATTCGATGGATTACTGAAATTTATATGAATTACACACTTCCCGATCATGAAAGGGAATCTGTTTGTATGGACTTTATTACATCGGACACAGGAAAGAATAAGAGAAGAAGAAGGAAGATAATATGAGAGATAAGCGAAAAAACAATTTTTATATGAGATATTTTATAAATTATTTGAGACAATTGACAAGCTGTAATGTTGTACCAAAAATGACTTTTTGATAAGTGACAAATGATATCGTTACACAGACAGAATATAAGACAAAGGGATAAGAAAATCTGTATATGAGAGTATCCGAAAATATTCTAGACAAGCGATGAGTTTAAATGCTGTATTTGTAATGATTCTTGGTAAATGGTTAACGGCAAGGTTATACAGAGACGAAACCTGCCGTTTATATGTGCGAGGTTCTAGTTAAATTGTATCGGTGTATGGGAACTTCATTTGCCGACTGTGTGTGTTAATGAGATAGAGGCTTGAACCGCACACGCTCTGCCTGTGGGTGGCAATAGCGTGTTACGGCGTCATCACAGATCTTTCACCGCCAAACACGAGAATATTTAAACAGTATCTAGTGAGCAGCAACATTGTATTGATTTATCTAGTTGAAAAAGCCACAGTATAGTGGCGAAATGCGTTCTGGTTCCTTGTATTTTAGCACATTGATGCGCTTTGTTTTATTAATAGAGTTTAGGCATATTTATGCCTTTTTATTTTATTTTATTTTATAATAAAGTCAGTTTTTATTGCAATTTGGATTCCTGGATTCACCTAAACCCACCTGCCTTTTTGATGGGAGTGCAGTCCCACACTGCACAACACGTGAAAATTGAGTCAAAATACTTGACTCCAGGCTTGTAAGTACCCATTTGGGAATTTATATTACTTCATAAGGGAATCCTAATAGTACTGCGCAATCGTCCGTGTTTTTGCCCTCTTCTTAGGATAAAAGTCACAATATTGGAAATTAACCAAAGAAAAGGGAAGACCATCCAAACGGACCCAGCAGTGACATAACTTTGATAAGGGGAGGATCGCCTAAACGGATCCAAAAGTGATACAAACCAGAGCTGAGTCTACAGCTCCCCGTTTGTGAGTTTATTTATATATTCTTACACCGAAGATTATTTATTATATACCATCTACACTATATGCGATTATTTCCTTTCTAGGGACTTGGTCACCGATCTCGTATATATTCCTCAGAGACTACTACTAAGTGAAAGTTTATTTAGTTAGATCATTTTTGTGTTGTAGTAATGCTATACAGGGTGTCTGAAATACAACTGAACACACCAAAGATTGGTGCTGGTTTTATTTGTTTGGGATACTAGGTCATTAAGCACACAATGCATCTTCCTAAAAGTAATGTAAAGGGTCAATTTGAGAACCAAAACCTCTTTAGCATTCTCACTTGGCAATGCTCTGTCATTTAGAAGTTAAACCATTTAATCGCCACAGACTAGCCACGCCTTCCTTATTTCAAGCTCACACAGCCTCCTTATACACTTCCTGATAAGAAGTGTTCACTTAGGCGTTATCTCACCCTATTTTAGAAGCTCTGTTAATTGACGGCTAGTGCAAAACAGCCTCCTATGTGAGATTAGGTAAAGTCCTCACAGGAAGAAAGAAGAATTCTTCCAAGAATGCAGAGTAGGGTACTCTATCAGAGAAGTACATTTTGTGACCTATTACAGCACAGTATTATATCTTATTCATATGATTTGTAAAATATCCTGCAGGTATTTAAAAGGAAATATCCAAGCACCAAAACGACTACAGCCTGCTGTAGTGGTTATGGTGCCAGGAGTGCTCTGTAAGTAGTCAAATAGTTTGTGAATGGTTTCACATATTACCTGGTGTTTTACAGGCACCTTCTGACACTTCCTCTGAAACTGAAAGCTCCTGCAAGGAGCTTCCATTAGCTCCACTGAGTGAAGCTCTGCCACACAGGGCTGGCTCAATGACTGAGAGAATCAGTTGAAGTTCTCAGCCACTGAGCACTTATCTCTACGGCCAGGTTTTGCTCAGTGCAGAGCAGCTCAAATGGTTTGACTACTTACCCAGGAGCACATTTGCATTCTTGGCACCAAAACAACTACAATAGGCTATAGAGGTTATGATGCTTGTAATTTCTCTTTTAATAATGTGCTTACTTTTCTCTATGAGAAGCATTTGATAGGACAATGTCCAACATGAACAGGAAAGTTAGTGCTGGGCAATGCGCAGAAGAGTCAATATTGTAGGGAATAAAGAAAATAATTTTAAGAAAAACTAATAAACGCACTTTTTTTATCTTAACTCCTTGTTCAAGTGCATTAAAAATACACATTCACTTTAACTCATTGAGCGAGATTATTTGGGTTAGGTGTTTGCATACCACGTTAAACTAAGTTTTTTTTGTTTTTTTTAAATAAAATAATTAACTAAAATCAGCAGGACAATCATATAATAGACCACACAATCTGACTAAGGTAAGAAATCTAAATAAATGTTAGAAAATCACACTAATGGCATTTGCAAGAAGTTGTTGAGCCTGTATGGTAAAATCTTTAGCCTATGCCTATCTGAAAGGTATAGTCACAGCTTTACTATTTTAACCTAAATTTTACAATTCCGATTTAAATTAATTCAAATACATAATTTAGTAAATAACCCTGCGGGTGTTTATTAAGGTATGTACATACCTTTAGAAAACCGCTCATCCAGCCCTGCTTTCAGTATGAACATTGTTCATAGAATGGAAATATTTCTATAACTTTCTGACTAACATCTCACTTGCCTGGAACAGTCCTCTGCATTCCTTCACTTCTACAAACTCATATCATATACCTGTGTCTTTCTTCCATTCTAACAGTAAAAGAGAAAAAAAAAATCTCCAGGCACCAAAGGCACATTTATTGGCTCAAAAAGGCAAAGCAACGTTTCGACCTGCTAATAGACCTTTGTCAAGCTCTTAGCAGGTCGAAAAGTTGCTTTGCCTGTTTGAGCCAATAAATCTGCCTGTACTTGAACACTGAGTGCCTGGAGAGGTTCTCTCTTTTACTGTTATACCTATACTGGATTTGCTAGTCCTGCTTCAGTGCAGCCAGTGTCAAGTGGAATTGAGTGGGATTCCTTTTCCTTTGCTTCTACCTTTCTAAGTCTTATACCACTGTCACAGCCTACCTATTTAGGTTTTACTTTCTCAAACTCAAAATCCAACAGTTCATAAATGTCTTGCTTGACTATCTACAGTCTACCATTCCTTTACCTAAAAATTAACTTCTCCATAACAGTCCCATTCAATACAACTCATTTGTAATGTGAATACACACCACAGGTACTGTATTACACATCACATTAATTGTGCATGTTCGCATTAGTAAGATTTTATAGAAAATTACTCCACTTTCATTTATTTTTCCTGAAGTTCGTGATTAACATACTACAAAATGAATCACGTTGCATAGGATATTCAGCAGTCGACAAAAGGTTTAAAATCAACTTATGTTTACTCAAAAAAGCTGCCTCTCCCTTCCCACACCTGATTAACTGGTTTCACTTCCAACTATCATAAAAATTATGATTGCAAACCTTTCTAGCTACATACTTTTCCATACACAAAATTCATCCTTTCCTTGCTTCTTGTGTCATTTTACCCCACTCCTCTTAGAATGCAAGTTCTTATGAGTAGGGCCTTCAGTACCTTCTACTCCTGTACAGTCAACGGGTCTTATTGCAACTATTTGTTTGTTAGCCCTCCTATTGTACAGCGCTGCAAAATGTGTTGTTCTTCAGTAAAAATAAAGAAAATACATTCACATCTTTAAAGATTTTGAAGGAACTTATGTTTAATAAATACCATCATGATACAGAAAATAAACAACATATATTGCACCAAAGAAAAATAAAATATAAAAACTAGATACTTGATCACATTTCTTAAGTGTTCAAAAATATTTACATGATTATAATAATTATAATACCCCAATTCATGTGATGCTGAAACAGAGATAACAGTTTTTCCACTTAAGGTGGGTAAACTTAATATAAAAAATGAACTGTCTGGCTGATACGCTTACCCGTTATGAACTTAAACAATCACACCCTTTGTAAACTGCACTTAATGGAGATGGGTATGCAAATGTTTATTTGCAAATTATATATTACTCATGATAATCCTGACAGCTAAGTTGAGTAGTTACTCTGCCATTAGAATTTGTTCATTTTAGCTGGAAATTTAAATTGCAGATGTGAAAAGTCTGTTGTTTTTTTCAGTAGCTGATCATTTCTCTCTTCGATGTGAAGTTATTGAAGGCCATCAGACATAGAGGCAATAGTTCCCACTTCTTGACTGCAATGGCCACTCCGATCACATAGGAAGTAGTTCAGGAGGGCTCTCACCGTAGCAGTACTTAGCAATGGGGTTTCGATATGTGTTCTCATGTTGTACACTCTGTATGTTGACAGGAAAATAAGTTTATCTTTGTAATCTTTCCCTTGGTATCACAGTGCTTTCAATAAGTAAATGTGTTGCTAATGTCAAAACAGATAGAAGTTGGCACTTTGTGAAAAGATCAATGGAAATCTGCATGTAATCATGCCATCTCAAAATCTTCAATAAAAAATATTTGAAAAGAAACACATTTTTTCCCCACATAATTTTACATTTAATAGAGGACTGTTTCCACAAATTGCAAGCATTTGGCAAGAAATGCATATGCAAAATAAATCATGTCAAGATATTTTTCCATTACCATCTGTGTACCTAAGAAATCTGAACAATGGGTATAATTGAATTGTTCCCTGAGACACTTTATTGTCCACGATGGCTAACTTAAAACCAATGTAAATCTATTCTCTGATCAAACATGGCAGTGTTTACTTATGGGTAAGCTTCTCCCTTCACAGCAGAAAATACAATAATTAAAATTAATTAATAGTTTTTCCTGTCCTTCATAGCAGTTTGGAAAGAGCCTGCTTTAGCAGGCCTAGATTTTTATTTAATGTTCTCCAGCCCAATATGTTTGTAGGCAGAGTCAGATTTTTGTCTCTAATCCTTGAATACCCAAACAGTACAGATGTAAGAGTCGCCTCCCTGGCTACCTTTAGTGGCCGGGAGTCTAACCTAACCCCCTGAGATGACAGCATCCCAATGGATCCATGAGGCCAAGCCTTTTTTCCTGAATACTCAGAAGACAGCACTTCCATAAAGGGACTACCTAGGTATACCTCTTTTATGTATACCACCATGTCTAGGGTCTATTTTAAACCTTTCACATTGGTGATGACAAATGGCATATGGGGTGCATATGGAAGCCAAGGAAGCATGAGGCTGTTTTGTTCCTAAGTTTATATCTTTGGCAATTTTGCTTATTCATGTGTCTCTTGCCACAATGTATCCTGTGCCACTAGTTACCACTTTTTCATTGGTGTCCTGCCTATTACATGTCACCTACTTATGGAGATCAACAGTCTATATTATTTTGATTTTAAGGTTTGGCATAATTTGTACTATTTACAATATTTTTATATTTGAACATATGTCCTGAGGTTGTTGGCCTAAATTTCCTAATTATAATTAGTAGTTGTTACAATTTCTATGTTTCATCCTGATATTCCTTTACTACAATTTGAATGATGTTCTTCTTCCTGCCTTTGGCAAGTAATAGCTACTATTTGTGTTATTGGTTTCTACCTCTCCTGTGATTTATCATAACTGTATCACACAATTGATTTACAGTGTGAGGAGAGTCCAATATTTGCAATCCGTAGTCATTGTTACAGTGTTTTCATAACAAATTTTCCTATTTCTCTACTAGGCTCAGTCTTTTCTTACAGGCAGATATTTATTTTGTGTTTACTCTAACTACAGGTAAGTAGTTCACAAGGCAAGATGAAGCAGTGAGAATTACGCATTTAATAAACACATATTGCCAGAGAACTGTTGGATTTTCAGACAATTTTTTTCTCCCTGTTTGATAGCAGGGTATGACTGACTGTTTTTGTTCACCAGTGTCCGGAATTTCAGTGCTTGTTCCAGCCTGGTGTCTGGAAATTATGCAATTGACAAGGTTCTGATTTAAAAGATCCATCCATTGAGTATTTCTGGAGAAGGACACTAACTTCTGTTTTTGCCATAATATGTTTATAATTGCCAGACCTTGTCTTTAGGTTTTAAAGCGGCACTGTTACAGTTTGTGGACTTTGATTAATTCACCAGCTGTGGCATGGTCGTTGGGGGCCAGGTAAAGGTGAGATTTACTCACCTAAACCTGTACATCACGGGTGCAACTATCTTGATCCAGCAGATCGTCTTCGGAGTCATCGCTATTGCTGTATTCTGGCGCATGCTCAAGAGTATAACATTGATGTCTATGGAGGATCCCACAAGACCGCGGGATCCTCCATAGACACAGCTAATTTCCTGCAGCCGTCAGAGGTGACCGCCTCACTTTAGGAAGCTTCTCCTCTAATCGGTTTTATTATTCTCCATAGCAAAACAGATTCAAGACTGGTGTCTCATTCAAACAGGAGATTAAGTTATATTAGTCCACACTTGTTCATTTTATAGCTTTGGTTATCATGACATTAATTCTAACTAGCAATATAATTCTATAGGGTATTCCTTACATTTGAGTACCAGGGGGTTGCTGACGAGCAGCCTCTGGGTTACAATTACTTGCCTCAATAGATATTTTAACAATATCCTATTGGTGATTTGTTTTGGCTTTTGATAAGACTTATTAGGTTTGTGCCACACAATGTTTTTTATGACTATTAGATGTATCTGAACTCCGTCCCTCCCACTATATATACTGCTTGGGTATTACGTATAAGTAAATACTGCCATGTTTGGTTAGGAAAAAAGGGAAATTGTTTCATACTTACCGTAATTAGTTTTTCCTGATTATTTCACATGGCAGCATTATGTCCCCACCCATCTACTTTGAGAGTTGCAAAGCTAGTTACAAAGACTGCCTAATGGAAAGTGGGTGGACCTATTTATACCAATTTCAGTCTTTTCTGCAGTGAAGGAAGGAGCTAACCAATAAGTAAATGCTGCGATATATTATGATCAAGAAACCTTCTTGGGGTAAAGTAGGGTAATGGGGAAGACAGGGTGGTAATATGGGAGACATAACTGACTGGTGGGAGGAGAAGATGGAGGGTAAAAAAAGTGACTAATCTGAAATCACTCCATTATACATTGAATACACCATTTATAATTAAGATATATGGTGTATTTAATGAAAAATATTTACTCAGTTTTCCTCTTTTCCAGCACTGCTTTGTGGGAGTTACTCTTCATGTAACACCCGCCTCCTGGCTGTCTTTCGCTCCTCCTGAAGTCTATTTTGATTTGCCCTGCTTGGGACGCATCCTCAAGTAGAGCAAATCTCATCAGTGACGTCGACACGCCAGCATCTGAACAGAGTGACATCATGTCACTCCATTCCTATACACCCTAGCCAGCACTAGAAGCTCAGCTATGGCTAGGGAGTTTCCATAGCAATCACATACACCGTAGTTGGTATGAAGAAGAGCAGAGAAACCTCACGTGGGTGGTCTTTTCTGCTCTCCCTTGTCAGACTGACAGCTAGGGGATAAGCCTATGTGTAAGCATGTTTTTCTCCCAATATATACATTTGCTAGCAAAACTGGTAGCACAATTAATAGATAGAATGTTATGCTCAATTTAATGAACATACATTGTTTGGGGCATGGCACATGCCCTTAAATACAAATATGTATAATATAACCGTGCAATCTGTCATTATCTCATGAGCTGTGTTTGAGCGATATCATGTTTGTGGGTAAAAGTGAGTGACTTTTTGCTTAAAGGACATCAAGTTATCACATTTTCGTTTTTTGATTTCTGATAATTATGATTTTATTTTTGAGAAATTTGACTTTATCTGGCTGAGAAGCCATGTTGTGTCAGATGTTACGATTATCTGACAAACTTCTGTTTAACCTGGAGAAAAAGGAAAAGTTCTTAAAGCAGGTATATTGAGAGTGAGAACCTAAGTATCACCCAGATGCCAACTCTCAAAACCCGCCAAAGATTTACCCATACAAAAGGTGAACAACTCAATCAAAAGGGTAAAAATTACAAATATTAAGAATCTTTAATCAGTATTGTATGTTAGACATATGATTATATGCTCAATGTGAAAAAAATAGTGATACAAAAAATGTCCAAGTGATTTAAAAAAGGGAGTCTGTCAAGCCTGCCTGATATGTCCTATGTATAGCTGCTATAAAAGTATCGGAGTACAAAGCAGCTGCTCCTGTAGCTATTCAGGTTCTCAAAGTTAAATATCGTTGGAATTTTTAAAAACAATTGTAGCTATTAGGGCAATTTTGTAACAACATCAATCAGGTCAATATATACACAAGATCTTAGAGTATCTATGATAGCAATACAGCTAAAGCAGGTATAAAGACGGCTACATAGAGGCACAGTGTTGGGGTGTTGGAGATGAATTACCTCCCCTTCCCTGTGCAGAGTGGGTGGCCGAGCTCCTCTTCGTCCTGTCAGTCCGGCCGGGTACCGCGCGGTACAGGAGATTCAGTTACCTGTTCCCGGCCAGACTGAAAGGAAGAGATGAATTCCTATCAAAGTATAATAGCTGAAGGGAGGGAATATAAGAAAAATAAGAAGCAAAAAGTAATAACTTGCTCCTCCCTACTTTATCAATGCATAAAGCTCAAAAATCAGGGTGTGGGAGATGAGGGTTAACAAATCTCCCCCTTTTTTGGTGGATTATCTCTTATATATTGCTCAGATGTAAAGCAAAGTATCTGGGAACAGCAAAAAGCCTGAGTAGGTATTAAGAAAGAATACTCTCCCCACCAGGACCAAAAACTGTGATTTCCCTAGTAAGATACTCGAGCACTGTGCTAAGGTATTTCACCCCACACTACTTGATAGATGAATTGCCAAACTACACCAATTATTAAGCCAAGTATAGAGTATTACAAATAAAGCCCTGGCTCCCTAAGCTTGTCCTGCAGTAAGATAGCTAATATAAAGCAGATCTGAAGTGTTAGTAATCAGGCTTCATAGAAACCCCTATAAAGTAAAAAAAATAGCCTAACAGCAGCGTCTTAGCTCGACGCGCGTTTCGGCGCTATGTTGCATCTTTATCAAGAGCATTAATATTTGTAATTTTTACCCTTTTGATTAAGTTGTTCACGTTTTGTATGGGTAAATCTTTGGCGAGTTTTGAGAGTTGGTATCTGGGTGATACTAGGTTCTCGCTCTCAATATACCTGCTTTAAGAACTTTTCCTTTTTCACTTAAATGATTTACCTGGGTTATGCCCAATTTTACCCATTTAGTCCTCTTTTTGACTTCAGGGTCAGTTTATCCTGACCTTCTAGTCCCCTCCTTTTTAACTTTTTTCTGTTTAACCTAACTTGCCTACTGCTGTAATTTAACATAGAGCAATCACAGCAGCTAATTATTAAAAAAACAAAAAAACATTTTCATTCAAATTCGTTAACTATAATTAATGTTTAAAAGTAGAAAAGTTAAATATGATGACAGTTGTCCTTTAATAGTGCACCTAAATTGTCTCAATGCTTTAATACAAAATATTAGGAGTGTTACAAAAAAAACAAAAAACAAAACTTCAGTGGGGCATAGCTTGGTCGATTTGGTGGCAAGTAAATTTTAGTTCCAGCAACTAGCTTAAGACCAGAAATTGTGAGTCCTGCAATACACCTCGACAATTAAGGAGATGAAAGAAAGAAACTTGCACAAAGTTGTTATTGTCATTGCAGTATTGTGTCCATTATCACACATCGCTACAACCAATTTCAAAGTTAGGATGTTACCTGTGACGATGTCCTGCATTTGGCTAAACATAGTTCAAAATGATCTTCAACTGCCAGAAATAGGTTTTGAAAAGCCATGGCTGCACGATTTAGGAAACGCTCCAACAGAAGTTGCTGTGAACAAAAAACAAGATTACTGCGAGTTCAAATGGCATCAAATAGATGCAAAAAAAAAAAAAGATAATTCCTGATTGCAGTAATGTGTATTTAGAATTTAAAATATTAACTTAACACAATGAGTAATATATAAACATGAAAGCAAAATATTCTTGTTTAAATCCTGACTTACTATTACATACCAGATGTTATGTATTTGAACATATATGAGGACACTCAAAGCTGTGAAAGCCCCCAAGATAAAAATCAACTTTTAATTACTGTGTTTATGTGTTAATTACTTTGATTTGAACACACGTACTGCAATACAGAAATAATTATGACAATCTGATGGAGGAATACTCACGATAACCCCAAAACTAATATATAGTATTAAATAGTATACGTGCCAACCTGCAATAACATTTTTCCTTGGTAATTAGTTTAGAAAAATCAGAAAACTGCAACAAGATGCATAAAAGCTAGTAATTGGGTAGGTTACCTGCATAAGTTAACAAAATCATGTTAAGTATGCAAATTATATTTCACGAAAATGGTTGTTTGCAAAAGATGACTTTAGCATAGAGTATCAAAGGGTTATTTGCACAGAGCAGCAGGACATGCTGGGATATTTTAAAGCGATACTGTGGGTACCATAAGCACTAATGCTCATTGTAATGGTTACTGGGCAAAGATTATTTTTGTTGCCACTGCTGGTTTGAGGAAAAAATAAATAAAAAAAAGTTGAATTACTCCTGGCACTTAAAGCATGCTGTCTCTACTGTAGCTTATCTAATGCAAAGTGGTATTTCGCCATTATCCATGCAACAGCGGTGGCATTAACAGGCTGGTGAAAAGGACAGGGGGAGGTTTAGCACTCGTAGCTTATCATTGCCACCTAAGGATATTAAATAATAATAATATTACCGCATTTTCCAGCGTATAAGACGACTTTTTACCCCTGGAAAATCTTTTCCAAAGTGGGGGGTCGTCTTATACGCCGGCCCTTCTAATGCTGCAGCCGCCCAAGCGCTCTATATAGAGCGCTCAAACGGCTGCCGCACTGCCTCTCTTACCTCCCCTTCCCTGTGCAGAGTGGGTGGCCGAGCTCCTCTTCGTCCTGTCAGTCCGGCCGGGTACCGCGCGGTACAGGAGATTCAGTTACCTGTTCCAGGCCAGACTGAAAGGAAGTGAGCACATTAATTATAGTTAACTGAGTGCTCACTTCCTTTCAGTCTGGCCGGGAACAGGTAACTGAATCTCCTGTACCGAGCGGTACCCGGCCGGACTGACAGGACGAAGAGGAGCTCGGCCACCCACTCTGCACAGGAAGGGGAGGTGAGAAGGAGGGAGGGGGGAGTAAAAAGAATGGAGGGTGGGGGTTAGGGGTGGTAAAAAATGGAGGGGGGAGTAAAAAGAATGGAGGGGGGATTAAAAAGAATGGGGATTAAAAATTGGAGGGTGAGTAAAAAAAATGGAGGGGGATTAAAAAGAATGGAGGGGGGTTAAAAAGAATGGAGGGGGTTAAAAAGAATGGGGATTAAAAAGAATGGAGGGGGAGATTAAAAAGAATGGAGGGGGGATTAAAAAAAGAATGGAGGGGGGGATTAAAAAAAGAATGGAGGGGGGAGTAAAAAGAATATATCGCAATTAGCTTCCTGTGTGATATACCAGCAGGCATGGATTATATGCTCAAAAACAGCCTGGCACATACCTGGGCTTTAAATGCTATTTCAAATTATCATTATTTAAAGGACCACTCTAGGCACTCAGACCACTTCAGCTTAATGAAGTGGTCTGGGTGCCAGGTCCAGCTAGGATTAACCCATTTTTTTATAAATATAGCAGTTTCAGAGAAACTGCTGTGTTTATAAATGGGTTAATCCTTCCTCCAATTCCTCTAGTGGCTGTCTCATTGACAGCCGCTAAAGGCGCTTGCGTGATTCTCACTGTGAAAATCACAGTGAGAGCACGCAAGCGTCCATAGGAAAGCATTGTAAATGTTTTCCTATGCGACCGGCTGAATGCGTGCGCAGCTCTTGCCGCCCGTGCGCATTCAGCCGAATGGGAGGAACGGAGGAGGATCGGAGGAGGAGAGCTCCCCGCCCAGCGCTGGAAAAAGGTACGTTTTTACCACTTTCCTCTCCCCAGAGCCGGGCGGGAGGGGGACCCTGAAGGTGGGGGCACCCTCAGGGCACTATAGTGCCAGGAATACGAGTATGTTTTCCTGGCACTATAGTGGTCCTTTAATGTCTTGCTGTGTAGCTCTGTCTGCTCACTGTACATCATGGCTAATTTTTATTTGGTGTGCATTGGAAGAGGGGTAGTCTTATACGGCGAGTATATCCCAAACTCTATATTTTAACTGGAAAAGTTGGGGGTCGTCTTATACGCACAGTCGTCTTATACGCCGGAAAATACGGTAGCTGTTAGCCAAAACAATACGCTACACTACAGTATAAGTACAAAACAATGTAACTCTTTAATAATGCATTTATAGTGGAGACATTAGATCAGAGGTAAGCTGTGAACAACATACCTTGTTAGGTTGCAGGCAACATGATACACAGTATTCATATACATTGCAGCACCCATTGGGTAGGCAGCTCTCACAGCTATAGAGTCTCGTACTGGCAATATTGATGTTACAGCAGCCATTTGCCAGTAGCTCTTTGCGCTCACAAACATAACCTGTTCAGGGGAAATCACATAGTAAGTAAATGTACTTGTTAGAAAAAGCAAATCCTCTTGGTTGCTTGTTATTAAAAGCGTAGCAATGACTTACAGTGGTGTAAATTTTACCCCCTACAAACACGTTTATAAGGTGTAACGGCACCCCGGGCATAAAAGGGGTTAAACCGCCATTTAGTAGATCTTCCCTTTCAGAGACACAGGCACAGCTACTGTAGACACCAATCCACCGAACCGTAGAAGCATATGAATGCCGTAAACAGCTGAACCGGAACAACACGAATACTGGAAACAGCCGAACAGGAAAAGCCTACAATCAGCTTACACTCCTGGCAATCAGCATACAATCCAATTCCCCCAATAACGAGACGACACTTCGTTTTGAGGTCAAGCAGGAACAGCCAGAGCTGTGGGTTTATTGTTCTTATATACACATTCTTACACATTAGTACCACCCACAGGGTTTTGGAAAACAACCAATAAACACGTACAATACACTCAGACACTCCCACACAAAATCCTCCCCTCTGCCTGTGATACAATTACCTTACACAATGGGTAATGTAATTATCACAGCCAGAGAAATACAGTTTTTCCACATTATTCATAACTTGAAAAGTATGCATCACATTCACATAAAACTTATCAGCATACTCCAAATAAAAACATATGTCAAAATCATCCAAATTGATCCATTGGTTTAAAAGATAGATCAAAGTCCTTTCTGACCAAATGAAGCATGGCTTTTCTGCCCAAAACCAGTTCCACAGAGTCTTCTATCCTGGAGATAATTGGGAAGTAATCCAATTATCTCCAAAAACAGAGGCAAAACTCCATTAACCACATGGCAGTAAAAAGACAGTAAAAGACATAAAATCACATACTGTTACATTCATCACATAGAACATACACATTCTACCTATCCCCAGATAGCATTATTACCGGATAGCGCTCAGATCACATGCATACAGTTCAATCGCCATGGAGCCAAAGTCTTTCCCATAGTCTTTCGGTATACGAATGGGCTCCATGGCTAAGCTATCTGGGGTAACCCTGCTCACATAGGGAGAATTAAAGGTTTTTAATGCAGGGCCATAGTCCAGCGGCAAGAGGTGGGCAACCAGGCTCCTACAGTGGTGAGGTTGGTTCCGCTACATAAGGCTTCAATAATCATGGGAAAACTACATCAACCTACAACTCTGTCAGTTAAGCTGTTCTGTTTGTGGAAATAAAAATCAAGCTACATGAGCTTATATGGCACCGAATCCTAAATTAATGCACCATACTGAAGATAATTGGGATGGCGAGACAGAACATCTAGACAGTTGGGAGTCCTGTATGCACAAGTGTGTAGATCTACAACCTACAAACTGAAAATTAAAGCATTAATGTGTAAAAAGAATAAATTAAACCACAACAACCATCAGAAGAGATAGCAACATAAACACTGTGTCATTCCTTAATCCCCTACAGGAATATTCACTAAAGTGTGATTTTTCTGGAATTAAATTTGAATTTCAAATCTTTGGCCAAAGTAGCCCCAAATCATTTTTTTTTTCTTTTTTTAAACTGTATTACTGCAGCCTAGTTTCAAAATAGTTTATGGCATTGTGAAGGAATCCGTCTGATATTAAATTCTAATGGCTAAAACAATATGTGATCAAGTCTAATAAGTGAAGAAACGGCTCTCAGTAACCCTTTTTTTTCCAAATATTGTAAATTAGCAGCAACTAAATCAAGCGTCAAGACTCCAAAACAATCACAATGAACAATACAAATGTAAGGTGTGCTGTGCACGGTGTCTGGGATCACACACAATTCTATACATTCACAGTATAATGAGCAGGTATGCACAGAAATACGTAGAAAAAGAAGGGGAAAATATACACACTGTAAATTCACAAAACAAACAAAGCAAAGCATTGGGGAAATAGCACTCCCAAACAAATAGATAGAATTCTGCTCAGGACAAAACGCTCAACTAAACACTCTTTTTTTAAGCTGCTCATCCAGAGGTAAAGATGACGCTTTGCTGTGGGATCTATTTTATGTTATTTTAAATGTTGCTGATTATTAAAGTGAATTACTTACCTGCACATCGTTCCTGTGGACCTGTTGATCTTACTCTCTTTTTATATGCATTGCTGAGGATGCCTGCACATTAAACTGTGAGTGTGTATATAACAACTATGTTTGATCACAGTCACATGTGCTTTAAAAAAAAAAAAAGAGTTAAAAGGTACAGCGCACCTTATATTTGTATTACATATTTCATTTATACCTACAGAGATATTTTAAAAAAACAAAACACAAAATTCCGTATATTTAGAAAATGAACAACAGTATATTTCACATTCACATAACATAATATTCATGGAATAAACACCATTAAGGTAGGAGAAGCTATGATTAATGGAATGAGTTGTGATAAAAAAAATTTTTTGGAATATGCTCGGCAGATGCGCAAGAGGAGTCATTATCTGGCTGGTTAGTCCCATGTTTTGGCTGAAGAATGGCCTTATGTCATGTATTATAACTGTGAATTATAATTTCATGTTGTGGTTTCATGTTCTAATTGAAGATGGACTGGGCATTTCCAGTGTTTGGAAACAATATACGCCTCTTTAGCAAACAGATGCTAATGAGATCACAGTCCCCAATGGATTTATGCATACTGGATATAGTGAGAGAATGTCCTGCAGCTAAATTACTTACACTCATTATTTTAGCCTAGCTCAGCACAGAGTAAGCACTGCTTCATTGCTTTAAAAGCAGATTGTTCGATGTTTTATGTGGACTGCAAAAAATATTCCTGAGATGCCATAACTTGGGATTTGGATCCCATAAATGCTAAAGCAATAATGTGTAAAAATTTTAATTACGGTTACTCAGCCACTATAGAAGTACTTAATAATGGAAAATAACAGGGGTCAGAATTGACACAACAGATTGCTTCAGTGTGACATGTTTCAAACTGTAGAATTGGGATGTTTATATAATGCAGACGACAATTGTAAAAAAAAAAGCGCCATGTTAAAGTCTGCAATTGAGATATATGCTCAAGTTAGAGTTTCTTCGATTTCTATATATATTAGGGCTATTTGTATTATGTCTTTGCCTTTTCAAGCTTATGTAATATATTTGAGATATACATACAGGTCCCAAGAACAAAATTGTATATTGTTATGCGACGTGAATGCAATGTACTTACTGTGATGTAACAGAGTATATGTAAAACGTAAAAAAAAAAATCCTCTCGGCACTAGCCATCGTTTTTATGTTGTAGGTTTTGACGATTTAAACTGTGATAAAGAGCTCAACTTCACGAGTATACGAACTCCAGATAATGTATAAAACTATATAATTGAGAAACAAAATATATGGAGATTCATTGTAATATATTGACATACCATTTTTGGTTTGCTGTGACTTGAAAGGTGATGTTGAACCCAAATGTTTATTATTTGTTTAATATTTGTCAAATTTGCAAAATTATAATAAAAAATGAATCTAAAAAAAAAATCCTAATAAAAATTAAATTGGGGGAAAAAATTTCCTCTCGACACAAACCATCGGCAAGTGAAAATGTGTACACTATAGTATAAACATATCAGAAGTTTTCCATTTCAGAGTGGCTAATAAGAGGTCAAATGTACCCCTTCTTATGTGTACAACTTGCTGAAATCAAGTGGTGATGAGATATTGAGGATGGTGGATTGTGGACTCAATGCGGACTGTGATTATCTTCTCACGTGTTGAAGTGTTTTGATATTTTATTTTGGATTTGCCAAAGAAGAATACAAATTATCTATTATCCCTGTGTGGTTATAATTACTTAATCTGGATAACTTGCATTTATTGTAACTCTGGGAAACTCCTCCTGTGAAGTCATCAATTACTAATGACCTATGTCCATTCATAGGGAAGCAATGGGACACACCAACAATGCTTCTCACAAGGAGGCACTGAAAGCGATAAGCACTCACATCTGCATAGAACTATAGTCCAAAATGAGTGAGGCAGGAAACCTCACCAGCTGTCTGCACACCAGTAGCCACTGCAGCATCACTGATGGTTTGGGATATAAAATAGGCGAGAATTGAATGGCAAGCTTTCACAGAGTTTGAAAACGCATACTCTGCATGCATGCACAATGTCGTGTTTACTACTCCAAAGAAGCATTTAACTTGGGGATATGGCCGAGTGCCACGCATGCACGTTAAGTCTCCAATGCTTATCTATGAGAAGCATAGGATTGGACCGATGTCATTACACTAACTGACTTCAAAGGGTGCAGAGCGGTCGGCCGCGCAGGATTAAAGGTAAGTAAATATTTCTTTTTATAAAAATTTGGAATATAAAGGTGGTACAATAAATATATATAATGAAACGGACATAGAAGAATTAGAAAGAAACAGAAAAAAGTTAATTTATTTCATACAGTGTTCCTTTAACTCAGCACTTACCACCCTGTAGCAAACTCCTAACTACAGGCACCAAATTATCTACTGGTCCCAAGAGATGTACTCCATGAATACAGAACTGTCCTTTTTGTCTCACACAGACATTCTAGAAATTGACCAAGCTACTCCAGCAGCTTCAGTTTTAGAATACATTTCAGTGTGCTGTGTATATATATATATATATATATATATATATATATATATATATATAGTGTATCTTTGGTAGACTTGCTGGATCCATGCACCAAAGACTAGATAATTGTACTGCAGCTTAGAATTTCTTACGGTTCATTTATTAACATTATCTGCTCACCTGGTACATCTCTTCTATGTTGCAAATGTTATATAGATGACATTTTCCAAACATGAATGCATGTCTTACCAAGATCATCTGTGATGAGCAGTTTTCCCTGCACAGAATTGCGACACTGGTTGCTGACCCTGCTGCTGTTGCCCAAATTGAACTGGACCTTCCATCGAATAGCCTGGTCTTGATCATGTGCCTGAAGCAGTGTGCGATCCCTTACTATTCTTTCTTCCTAGTAAAAGGAAATTTACATATATGTTTAAACATGAATATTTGGCTTTACATCTGAAATCATAGTTGGAGAGGTCTGTATCCCTAAAGGAACACTAGAGGTTTAGGAATATAAACATGTATTCGTAACACTAGAGAGTTGTTATCATTTAGATATCTGGGCCCACCTAAATTAGAGAAATAAACCAATTTACTTATCTTTCATCCCTCGCAACTCTGGTCTCCATTCAGCCGTCCCGCCTCCGAAGCTGAGATATTCAAACCTGATTATCTCAGCCAATCCATTGAGTAGCTGGTGAGCAAAAATCAGCAACTCCACATAGAGATGCATTGAATCCCTCTAGTAGCCGTCGAAGGCGAGTTGTCAGAATGTCTCACTAATGGCTTTTGGATTTGTATTTATTTTTTTACACTCTTTTACCTTTATTAAAAAAATTATTAAAAATAAATAAAATAAAAGATTTCTAAAGATAAAATACATTAACAAGATGTTAGACATATTTCACAATCTTACAAATTTTGTAGAAGACAACTCTTCACAGTTTTGTAACACTTTATAACAAATTGTTTAAAATTATATAGAGCATGTTGTGGGCAAGAAGAACTAAGGGTATCTACTTATCTGTAGGAACAATCCCTATCTGGCCCTTACTCAGCCTAGGCCTGCCCCACTCCTCTCCCTATCACTACCTCAGTAACAAAAACTCTCTACTCTCCCTATCAAAACCCTTTTTTACCCAATCCATGTTCCTATCTTTTCCTTATCTATCCATCTAAAAATAGAAGGGAAAAAAGGGGAAAGGGAGCAGAAGAAAGGCAGAGGAAGAGAAAAAAATAAAAAAAATAAAAAACATAAATAAATGAGTAAATAAGTTCTAGTCAACTTATTACCCTAACTTAGATCACCATGATTGTCATATGCACAACCCTAATTCTGTTGGGAGCGATTTATGTTTTTTTTATTTGATAATCAGATTACTTTTCAATCGAATTTGTTAGTAGATAGTTTTCTTTTTAAGATACATTATTGTTCAAAGGGTATTCAGTATGAAACAGGGATTAGTTCTTTAGCATGATGCTGTATTCGTGCAATATTTACATTTTTGGTGAATGAATTCCATTAATCCAAGCTAATTGAACTTGTGTCTGAAGAGACAACTTACACTTTTTCACAGGTAAGATGTTATAAATATACAAACCTCAGAAAAAAGGATATGTTATTCTGCAAATTTACATACACACAATAAACAACTTACTTTAAAGGGTTATTCCAAGCACCATGACCACTTCTGTGATTTGAAGTCAGTATTTGCAACTTTTCAATATGAAACTCTGCACATACGGAGATATTTTATATTGCTGTCAGAGGAGTAACTCCACATCTGGCAGCATCATTAGAATGTCATTAGCCAGCCCTGAACAAGAGTTTTAGGCTGGCTTATGTCAATTCTGTGCATATTCTTTGCGCAGATGGTGATTCATTGGCTGAGAGTGCTAGTCTGACGCTTTCAGGGAATTAATGACCAGTGGGATGGGCATCCAGCTCCTGCAGCTCTGGAGAAGCCAGATGTGCATCACAGATTGTGTGGTGCCAGCTGGTACCCAGATGAGAGGGCAAACCATTGTAGTTTAAGTTGTTTGTTTTTTTAAGATAAATGCATATGTGCAATAGGAAGCATGACCAGTCAACTATCATGCACAATAGTTGATGGGAAACATCACAAGGGGGTAGCAGAAGCTGCTTGAAACTCTGCACTTACACTCATTATTTTAGCCTAGCTCAGCACAGAGTAAGCACTGCTTCATTGCTTTAAAAGCAGATTGTTCAATGTTTTATGTGGACTGTTTTATGTGAGCTACTGACACAAATCATCTTGTACACAGGACAACATAGTATCTACTCTGATATCTTTTAACTGCTTTGAAATGTGAATGCTAAAACACAGGCTGTATAAGTTTTTCTTAAAGATTCTATCTTCATAAAAATAAAAAAAATAAAAAATGAAATGCTGGTGTGAAAAGAGCTAATAGCTAAGTAAGATGGAGTTCAGGATAATGTACAGCTGCGAAAGAAAAATAATAATAATCAAAATTCATGTTGCTCTAAGGCAGCGTTTCCCAATTGGTGTTCCGCCCAAAAAATGAAGAAAACAAAATGGCTGCGGGCGGTGAGGGAGCAGTGAGCTCTAATCTCCCTGCTCAGCTCCCTCGCACAGCAGTGATGCCGGAGCCGGAATATGACGTCACTCTGGCATCACTAGGAGGCACGCATCACTGCTCCCTCGACGCCCACGGCCATTTTTTGGGGGGGTTTGCAGCCAACTCCACTGGACCCCAGGGACTCCATGCCAGCACTCCTAAAGGTAGGGGGGCTGGGTGGAGAAAAGAAAAAAAAGTTGTATGTGTGTCTGTTAGGGAGTGTTTGTCAGTGAGAGTGAATGTGTGCTTGTCAGTGAATGTATGTGTTTGGCAATGAGAATGTATCTGTTACATAGTTACAGAGCTGAAAAGAGACTTGCGTCCATCAAGTTCAGCCTTCCTCACATTTGTTTTTTGCCGTTAATCCAAAAGAAGGCAAAAAAAACCAGTTTGAAGCACAATTTTGCAACAAGCTTGGAAAAAAATGGCAGTCAGATTTATCCTTGGATCAAGCAGTTATTACCCTACATTGAAAGATTATCTCCTTGAATATTCTGTTTTTGCAAGTATGCATCTAGTAGCTGTTTGAACATCTGTATGGACTCTGATAAAACCACTTCTTCAGGCAGAGAATTCCACATCCCGATTGTTCTTACAGTAAAAAAACCTTTCCTTTGCCTTAGACGAAATCTTCTTTCTTCCAGTCTAAACGCATGGCCTCGTGTCCTATGTAAAGTCCGGTTTGTGAATAGATTTCCACACAATGGTTTGTATTGGCCCCGAATATATTTGTATAATGTTATCATATCCCCTCTCAGGCGACGTTTTTCTAAACTAAATAGGTTTAAATTTGTTAACCTTTCTTCATAGCTGATATGTTCCATTCCTTTTATTAATTTTGTAGCCCGCCTCTGCACTTTTTCTAGTGCCATAATATCCTTCTTTAGAACAGGTGCCCAAAATTGCACAGCATATTCAATATGTGGTCTTACCAGTGATTTATAAAGAGGCAAAATGATATTCTCGTCCCGAGAATGAATGCCCTTTTTCATGCATGACAATACCTTACTGGCCTTGGCCACTGCTGATTGACATTGCATATTGTTTTAAATGCCATTTTCTTATTTTTAATCTCTTGTTTTACTTCTCTACTAAGCCACATTGGTTTTAATTTGTTTCTTTTATATTTATTTCCCAATGGTACATACTGAGAAATGTACCCTTCTAATATTTGTTGGAAGATGATCCATTTATCCTCAGTGTTCTTTTCGCTAAAGAGTTTATGCCAGTCAATATATTGTAAAGCTTCCCTTAACTTATTGAAATTGGCCTTTTTAAAATTATATGTTTTAGTATTCCCCATGTGCTTTTGTTTTTTTGAGTTTATTTCAAAGGACACTATATTGTGATCACTAATTCTCAACTGCTCACCTACTTGAATGTTGGTCAAAAGATCAACGTTGTTTGTTAAAACCAGGTCCAGACATGCGTCCATTCTAGCTGGTGCTTGTGCAAGTTGTGATATGAAGGTGTCATTTAACAAGTTTAAAAACCTAATTCCCTTTGCTGAGCTACTAGTCCCTCTGTCCCAATTTATGTCCGGGTAATTAGAATCTCCAATAATTAAAGTGTTACCCAGATTTGCAGCTTTCTCAATTTGCTCAAAAAGCTGTTGTTCCTCATCAATATTAACATTAGGTGGTTTATAACATATCCCAACCAATAGTTGGTTTCCCTTCTTTTCCCCCAAGCAGATATTTACCCATAAAGCTTCCACATTTTCCTCATCGCATTCCACTTGCTTAAGATTTGGCTTTAAATCATGGTTGACATACAAACATACCCCACCACCCTTCTTGTTTTTCCTATCCTTCCTAAATAACATGTTCTTATCAATGAGAGTGTATATGTGTTTGTATGTGTGTCTGTAAAAGAGTGTGTGTTTGTCAGTGAGAGTATGTGTGTCTGTAAAAGAGTGTGTTTGTCAGTGAGAGTGCATGTCAAAGAGTGTGTGTATCTGTGTCAAGGTTTGTGTATGTGTCGCTGTGTGCATCTAAGTATGTGTATGTGCCAGTATGTATCAGTGTGTTTGTATGTGCCTGTGTGTGTGTGTATCTGTGGGTGCAAGAGTGTGTATGTCACTGTGTGTATCCGAGTTAGGGATCGACCGATTATCGGTTTTACCGATATAATCGGCCGATATTCTGTTTTTTCGACAATATCGGTATCGGCCAATTCAGATACCGATATTGCCGATAATACCTCCTAGGACCGCCAGGCTCATAACAAGCCAGGCGGTCCTGGAGGGGCTGGCAGCAAGTGTTTACTCACCTCCCAGCAGCTCCCCAGTGTAAGTCTCGCGAGACCCGCGGCCGTCAGAGCATTGCCACGGGTTACGCGAGACTTACACTGGGGACCTGGATGAGCTGCTGAGAGGTAAGTAAACGCTTGCTGCCGCCCCCCCCACAGCTCAGCCAATGCCACTGAACCACCAGGGACTGTCATATCTCCCCTCCCTGGCCAGGCAACAAGCAGGGAGGGGGGACAACAAAAATAAATAATAATAATTAAATATAAAAAATAAATAATAACTTAATAAAAAACGCCCCCTCACACACACACACACACACACACACTCCATTATATACACATACTACACAAACACACTGTATAGTGTGTATATATACAGTGTAGTGTGTGTATATAATGCAGTGTATTATATAAACACACTGCATTATATACACACTATACAAACACACTGCATTATATACACACACTATACAAACACACACTCTGCATTATATACACACACTACACAAACACACTGCATTATATGCACACACAATACAAACACACACATTCTGCATTATATACACACTACACAAACACACTATATATAATGCAGTGTGTTTGTGTAGTGTGTGTATATAATGCAGTGTGTTTGTGTAGTGTGTATATAATGCAGTGTGTTTGTATAGTGTGTATATAATGCAGTGTGTTTATATGATGCACACTACACAAACACACTGCATTATATGCACACACTACACAAACACACTGCATTATATACACACACTACACAAACACACACACTACACAAACACTACACAAACACACTGCATTATATACACACACTATACAAACACACACACTCTACATTATATACATACACACACTACACAATCACACTGTATATAACGCAGTGTGTTTGTGTAGTGTGTTTATATAATGTAGTGTGTTTGTGTAGTGTGTGTAGTGTGTGTATATAATGCAGTGTGTTTGCATAGTGTGTTTAAATAATGCAGTGTGTGTGTGTAGTGTGTTTATATATTGCAGTGTGTTTGTGTGGTGTGTGTATATAATGCAGTGTGTTTGTGTAGTGTGTTTATATAATGCACACTACAAACACACTGTATATATAAAACGGTGCAATTGGTGGTGGTGGTGGGGGGGGGTTCTATGATGTTGATACACTATGTCAAAGGGTTCCACAGGAAAAATTAATTGGGAAACCCTGCTCTAGGGTCATACAACCACAAAACAATTATAAGCACAGCACAAAACTTGCTAAAAAAAAAACAAACAAACAAACACAAAGCCATTTTCTTTCTCCAAATGGACAAAAAAAAACTGTGAAAATTGCCTTATTTTGACAAGAATGGCAATTCTCTAATGCAGCGTTAAGGGGTTAAGTAGCTTTTATAGTAAGAAGGCATTTGAGCACAATTGGAAAAGCACGGCTAGTTTTCAGGCATGCATCGAAGATTTAAACAGCTGTGTTTACGGCATGTTAGAGTAACTACTTTGCAGCTATGATGTGGAATGAGTGTTTCCTTCCTTAGAACTTCGTATAGTTAGTTGTAATTCAGTCTACTGTGAATGCTTGTTCAATCACTGTCATTATGCAGACCTAACCAATATAGATAGGTTTTATTAGTCCAGACTAGTTGTAGGACAGGCCCGGACTGGCCATCGGGCAAATGCCCGGTGGGCTGCGATGTCCACGAGCCAAGGCCGGCAGGGGAGATCACAGGATCTCCCCTTCCAGCCCCTGCAGGGCCAGAGCTATCAGAGTGCTGGCCCTGCTGTCTACCTTAATGGGCCAGTGGAGAGATCAAAGATCTCCCTCACTGTCCCACAGGCACTTTACTGGACAGTCGGGAGGTAGGAGGGAGGACCTGTCTATCTAGCAGCTCCTCCAGGTTCTTCCTCTCGCAAGGTCAGAGCGTTGCCGCAGTTACAGAGTAAACTCACCACCGGATCACCAGGGCTGCAATCTCCCCTCTCCCTGGGCAAAGGTAAGAAGGGAGGGGGGAATATAACTAAAAAAAGAAATTAAAATGCATATAAGTAGCCATGTATTTAAGTACATGGTTTATTTATTTATTTAAAAAAAAAAATATATATATATATATATATATATATATATTTGCCTATATCTGCACCCTCACACACACACACTGCACCACAGACACGCACATTATGCCTTATACACACACTGCACCCCTCTCTCTCACTCACACACACACACACACACAAATACAATGCATCCTTCACACACTGCAGCCCTCTCACACACACACTACATTCCTTGTAAACACTCTGGATCCTCTACACACACACACACTAGATCCCCTATACACACTCTGGATTCTCTACACATACAAAAGATCACCTGTAGACACACAGTGCACCCCCCCCCACACACACACACACACACACACAACATGCCTTATACACACTACACCACTTACAAACACTACATCCCGTGTAAACACTCTGGATCCTCTACACATACACACAAGAGATCCCCTATAGACATACACATTTCTGACATACACACTCTGGATCACCTATGCACAGACTAGATGCTCTACACTCAAACACGCACACTACATTCCCTAAACACACACTCTCTACAATTCATACAAACACTACATCACTTACACACACACATATATATATATATATGCTACAGTCTCTTTGCACACACTTGTTTCACCACCTATACACACACACACTCTCTCTCTCACACTCTTCAATCCCTAGTCACACATATTACACCACAAACACATCACAACTGAAACCGACCAATTTACACAAAACACCAGACCACAATCATGCTCATTCTACAAACAAGCAATCCCACAAGCAGCCTCCAAACACATGCACAATTCACTTTACTTGCCATTTTGTCCTCTGGTATCTCACTTATGGAGACACCAGAGACCGAAAAAATGCAGGGCCTTTTTCTCATGCTAGAGCTCTTCAGCATAGCTCTGTGCATGGGCTGCTCTGGAAGAGCATTGTACCAAAATGCCCGGGCTGATTTTTTTTTCCTAGTCCCTGCCTGCTGAAATTGAAATTTTGCCCAAAAAAGGGTCAAATCTGCCGAAAATGACACGCTTCCCCTACCCAGAGTACTGCACGCAGGGTGTCATTTTCGGCAGATTTGACCCTTTTTTGGGCAAAATTTCAGTGCATCCCTAGTTAGTTTGGAATGATCTCCCTGAAGTAAACCCATGTTGTCTCTGATCTTGAAATCAATGTGATTTTAGATGTTCAACAATCCTATCCTTTAACATGGTTTCCATTACTTTCCCCACTACTGAAGTAACAATCACTGGTCTATAGCCCGACACCTCCCTACTACCTTTCTTGAGAATTGCCACAACATTCACTAATTTCCAAACTTCTGGAACAACACCCATTAACAATGATTGGTTAAATAAATCCATTAATAACTTTGGGTGTAGCCCAACTGCCCCTTAGTCTTTACTTTAGACCAGTGTTTCCCAACCCAGTCCTCAAGGCACACCTACCAGTCCAGGATTTAGGGATTACCCAGTTGTGTCTAAGGTGTTTTTACAAAGAAGAAAAAAAACACCTTAGACACAACTGGGTAATCCCTAAATCCTGGACTGGTAGGTGTGCCTTGAGGACTGGGTTGGGAAACACTGCTTTAGACAGCTGAAATAGAACCTATTTACTTTCCTTTTCTCACGTTTGCATCTAAAATGTTGTAGCTGACTTGGCTATTTTCTTTTCTGGGTAAGTTTGGAAGCTTTTATAACTTGCTTTGGTTCTTCCTGCCGAATTGTATCCATCGATACCACAGTGGTTTGTTCAAGTTTTTGCTCTTACTGACCATCCGAGTTCTCTTGCCTTCACTAGTGCAACTTCTAAAAAAATCCAATTTCACCTGAACTCCATTTAAACTGCTCCAGTCTGATAATGACTTCTTTACACATATTTTATCTGATAATTATAGTTAAAGGAACTCTATAGTGTTCGGAATACAAAACTATATTGTAGTTTTTTACATAGCAGGGTTAAAGGGTTGTAGGCACCCAGATCACTTTTTATAAACCGCAATAATTACCTGCTGGGGTTAACTCCTCCCCTAGTGACGCTCTAACAGACAGAGGGACTTCCGCTGGACGTCCTTACGCTATGAATGAAGATTTCCAGCGTCACTGGAATTCCCATAGGAAAGTATTAAATCCTAATATGAGCGCAGCCATTACTGCACATGCACATTAGGTCTCCCCCGCCATACATAGGAGGGAAAAAGCATAGGCGGAGCTGTGCCTACGTTGAGGGACATCAGCGCTGCACCAGGTAAGTGACAGAAGGGGTAATTAATCTCATCTGCACCATGGGGGTGGGGGCAGTTTGTTTTCCTGACACTATAGTTTCCCTTTAAGGGGACAGTGACACAGCACCCACACTACCTCACTGAGGGGAAGTGGACTAGGTGCCTAAAGTGTACCTTTAATGTATTGCTTTCTTCAAATGTAAATTATTTAGATTTATTGCACTCACTACCACATTTACTATACATAATATATATTATGTAAAGTAAGTCTTTCCTGCAAGTTTGAGTACACTAAAGACAAGTTTATGTTTTCCACTTATGACTAAGGATAAGTCATCATCAAACGCGTAGAGACTTTTCCTTTTTCGAACAAGTTTAGCTTTATTTCATGGCATTTCATTCTCAGGAACACTCTACTTGGTGCAATGTCTATAAATGGATATAGGGTCACCATACAACCAAAAACACATCATTAACCTTTACTCACCTGCTTGAAAGTGCTCGTGAGAAAGTAGATGAGGGACAGCCCAAACACAATACCAAGAACCCATCTCTTGCGCAGAATTTTCCTCCACACCATAGAAAATAAGTTAACCATGGCAAATATTCCTGAATTTATGGCTACAGAGCCAAGTCTATCCTATATTTTTATTCTCCGCCAATTACTGTTCATCTATAGCTATACAACTAATTGTAAATCACACTTACAATGGCGACCATCGGCGGTCTCCAAAAAGTAGTCATGACGCCAAATAATATATTACGCTAACCTGAGATATAAATTGTTTACATTGTATTTAGCAAATCTAGAATGTCCTGTGTTTCTGATAAATTCGAAAGTGTGTGCATATATAAATATACACTACACTTTCTGAGCAAATATAATGTATTTAATGCCAATATTTATTATACTAGTGTTCTTGAATTTCCCTTAGCACTTACATATAGCACACCTTCTATACCTATCTTTCATTATTAGAAGAATATATTTAAATATATATATTCTTATATACACACACAATATATCATTAACAATACTGATCTCTCCTTACACCTCCCCTAAATGAAAAAAAGAAGAGACTATGACCCGGAACCTTTAAATGGTTATTGGTCATAGACCTGCCACTGGTTACTATGCTGACATTCGAACCCTGTTAGTAGCCCCGTTAGCCAACCCAAATAGCCGACTGGCCCCGCTGACCCGGTACAGGAATCAGCAGTGTAAGCAGCAGAGCTCTAAACACTAGAGTTTGGATGAGTCGGCCATCTTGCCGGCGTCGCAGAGCCGTAGACCGTTGTGTGGAAGGTGGCAATGGATAGGTGTTTGTTGTGCGTAGAGCTCGGGGGTACACCGTGCTGGGCTAGAGCTGATTTAGAGTTGGAGGCTGACGTCATCACCTGTGCGACGTGCGAAGCAGAGAAGGTGGGGTAATTGGGGAATTATTGGTGAGAATGAAGCCAAGTGTTGACATGTATGTGCTATTATGTGCTCGCTATATAGAGCTGTCCCTGAAGTATAGATGTAATTCAATGTATTATTAGACTGCCTTTACAGAGGTTAATGTTGGACTGTCTAGAATGTTGGACTCTCTTGGTAAACCTTTATACAAGATAACTGGAAATATATGGTATGTTTGTATCGATGTACACACAATGTGCATGTGGATATAGACATGTCATTTATGTATACAATGTACAATAGCCTTTCCATTTAATGAAATAGTTTTTTTTTTTTTTTTATTAAAATGAATAGTAATTAACTAGACTTGCCATAAAATTGTATAATGCATGAAACTACAAGTTGATATAGCAAGCAATGTTGCTCTTTCTGTGGTTGTTATGCATAAAAAAAATTTCTGGTGGAAAGTTATTAACAAAAAAAAAAAGGTTCTAATTTTTTTATTATTATTATTTTTTTTACATATATGCAGAAATACAATTTTGATTTCTTTTTCTCCCTACATTGTTATTTTCCAGCAAGTGAGATGAACTGTGTCTGATTTTTTTGAAAAGACCCAGATGTCGACTTTCAAGTTCTTTAAATCTTACAAAGTGTACTTGCAGAAAGTTCATGTATAAAGCAACGTTGAAACTGGAAGACGTCTACCTGCTCATTTTCCCTTTTAGACAATACATTTTAAATGTATTGTTTTAAGGTCTTGAAAACAATGCAGAGAAGACATAGCAGCCTCACAGACAACCCTCCTCCAGAGAGGTAAGCTAAGACTATCTATTAGTAATAAATAATTGGTGCACTAAGAAATATACTTAATATGGGTTATTGTGTGTCTTGCTTGGGTATAAATGACCTATTATGAGAAAAAAACAAATATACATTGATTAGCCTCAACATGCCTCATTGTGTAGGTCACCCTCGTGCTACCAAAATAGCTCTGCATCAAGGCATGGACTCCTCAAGACCTCTGAATGTGTCCTGTGTTATCTGGCACCAAAACATTAGCATCAGATCCTTTAAGTCCTGCAAGGTGGTGCCTCCAGATACAGCACATCTCACAGATGCGCAATCGGATTGTGATCTGGGGAATTTGGAGGCCCACAGCAATACTGAACTATTTTTATGTTCCTCAAACCATTCCTAAACAAGTTTTTCAGTGTGACAGGGAGCATTATCCTACTGAAAGAGGCCACTGCTATCAGGGAACACCATAGACATGAAAGGGTGTATATAGTTTGCAACAATCTCTAGGTAAATGGAATGTGTTAAAGTAACATCCACATAAATGACAGTACCCAAAGTTTCCCGACAGAACATTGTCGAGAGCATAACCCTGCCTCCACCAGACTGCCTTCTTCCCTCAAGTGCAATGACGCACACAAACCTGTTATCCACCTAATCTAAAGAAATACCGTGATTCATCAGACCAGGCAACCAAATTCCATTGTTCCACGGTTCATTTCTGACGCTCACGTCCCCATTGAAGGTGTTTTCAGTAGTGGACAGGGCCAGCATTATGTTTTTCATCAATTTGAGGTACAGTAGCTCTTCTGTGTGATCGGACCAGATGGGCAAGCCTTGGCTCCCCACTTTGGTAGATATTAACTACTGCATACTGGGAACACCCTTTAAGACTTGCCATTTTGGAAATGCTCTGACCCAGTCATCTAGCCATTACTATTTGACCCTTGTCAAAGTCACTCAGATCTTTTTGCTTTAACATTTTTCCTGCTTACAACACTAAAATCCAAGAACTGACTAATATGTACTACCCCTTGACAGGTGCCATTGTACCGATATAATCAATGTTTTTCACTTCACCTGTCAGTGGTTTTAACGTTGTGGCTGATCAGTGTAGATAATGTGATACTGCAATTAAAATAAACCCATGTCCCTTTAAAATAGACTCACAAGATGGGAGTGGTCTAGCACTACTCACACCTGCTGGCACTGGGAGGATCAGACTCTGGCTTCCAATGGACCAATGATTAACTTTCTCTCTAATGATTGAGATATAGGGTAAAGTCGAAGTACCGATATACTTTATTTCCAAGCTGATTACAGTGTTTAAAATGCTGTACATTGCAGGGTTAAATTAAAGGGTCACTGCACCCAGACCATTTTATTGAGATGTGGTCTGAGTGCCTTTAGTTGTCCTATAAATGAAAATTATTTAAATGTTTACCTCTTTTTGATTAAATATTCATGGCTTTAATATGTGATATTTTAAAATGTAATATGAAAATATTTGGTTTTTCAATAAAATATTTTTAAAAGTAGTATAATTATATTTTTATTTGTGACCTAATTTTTAGACCAGTATGTAAAAAATTATAGAAAATTAGCTTTCTTAATATGAAGAGATTCAGATGTTTAATATGCAGAGTCAAAATGTTCTAAACCCAATACATTTTAGTTTTTATGGTATCTAGACTGTTCTTTTAAAGAGACTTGTCCAGTAGTGTAATATTTGATTTGAACTACTAGGGTCATATTGCACATTCGGTACCGCAGTCAGATTGACAACCACCATTTTACAGTGCTTCCCAACAGAAAAATGGTTTTATAGTGTGCTTTCATTAGACATTCCGAAATTTGAACTTTGTCAGTTGAAAAATCCTTTTTGAAAAGTTAGTTTGTGCAATGAGCAGTTAAGGTTTATTTTGTATCAATGGAACAATTTAACCCCTTAATGACCACTGACGTATGAGGTACGTCTGACAAAAAACTGTCCTTAAAGGACCACTCTAGGCACCCAGACAACTTCAGCTTAATGAAGTGGTCTGGGTGCCAGGTCCTTCTAGGGTTAACCCATTTTTTCATAAACATAGCAGTTTCAGAGAAACTGCTATTTATGAATGGGTTAAGCCTTCCCCCTAATCCTCTAGTGGCTGTCTCATTGACAGCCACTAGAGCGCTTGCGTGCTTCTCACTGTGATTTTCACAGTGAGAGCACGCAAGCGTCCATAGGAAAGCATTGTAAATGCTTTCCTATGCGACGGGCTGAATGCGCGCGCAGCTCTTGCCGCGCGTGCGCATTCAGCCCAGGAGGAGGAACGGAGGAGGAGAGCTCTCCGCCCAGCGCTGGAAAAAGGTAAGTTTTTAACCCTTTCCCCTTTCCAGTGCCAGGAAAACGAGTATGTTTTACATACATCCGCTGTAAATTTAAGCGCTGGAAGCGATCGTAATCGCTTCCAGACACTCTATGGGTATTACACAATGCCTCGCTATCGAGGCATCGTGGAATACCCCGCCTCCCCCCCTACACTGCCGGGCACCCAAGTGATTGCTCCCCCTGGAGCTTCAGGCAGGCTTCCGATGCTCTGCCTGTACTGAGTGCCTCGAGCAGCCGAGGCACTCAGTTAAAATAAAAAATAAAAAGTTAGATTAAAAAAAATATTTTTTTTAAAAATTAACCCCTCCCTCTGCCTCCCCCTCATGTACTTGCCGATCGAATTTAGGACCCACAGGGGCCATGTGACCGCTCTAAAAGTACAGGTGTCCACAGTGCTACCAGCAGGGGGACTGCCTGAAACGTCATACTAAGTGTATTTTTTTATTAAAATATATATATATATATATTTGTTAATATAGAAATACACTTAGAGTAAAATTACACACGTGTATATTTATAATAAATATAATAACTATATATATATATATATATATATATATATATATATATATTTATTTTTATAAATAATTAAAATAAACCTAAATATTTTTTTAAAATATATGTAATTTTATTCTAACTGTATTTTGAGATATATATATATATATATATATATATATATATATATATATATATATATATATATATTGTGAGCGTAAAAGTGGAATTGTGATTGACGGAAGATACATCAGGCCTGATTTGTTAAACAGCAACCTGAGAATTTTCAGTTAAATGCCCCAGGGAGAGATGTTAGAGTTTGCAATCTACATTGCTGAGGTTCTGCAAAACATGGTATGGGTCCCTGGGGCGGAGTATTTGGAGAGCAGGGTGGGCCAATGCTCCAACAGCATTAGTTGCTGTGTAACAGACCACTATTTGGATCTGACTTATGAGTTAATTAATTGGCACTCACCTGTAGCTAGCTAATTAGTAGACAGGCCTTTAAAAGAAGAGGGCAGCCTGCTGCAGAGTGAGGGAGGAAAAGACAGCTAGGAGAGTGAATGACAATTGTGTTTATTGCAAAGACATTTCTTTTGTTTGGAAAATTGGTAAGTGGGAAAGCCACCCAATTGCAGATAGCAATTCCTGTCTAGTAAGAGCTCAAGTAAGAGCAAGGGATTTTGTTTGTTTTGTTATTATTTAAAGCACCTGTTTTCTTATTGAATAAAAAGGAAAACCGAGCTGAATGTGTCCTGGACTTTGTATACCCTAAAAGGCTGTGGTTACTGCAAGATCTGTGACAATCCTACCTATAAAAGAGGTGGTTTGTTACAATATATATGTGTGTGTGTGTGTGTGTGTGTATATATAATATATATATATGTATATATAATATATATATGTATATCCCCTTAACGACCTTGGACGTACTAGGTACGTCCGACAAAAAGCAGTCGTTAAGGACCGCGGATGTACCTAGTACGTCCGCAGCAAATAGGAGCCCTGGATTTACCTGTACCGGCGATCACAGTCGGGGAGGGACTGGCGGAGACCCCAACAGTCCTCCTGCAGCAGCTCTGGCCCTCCAGGGCCATGTGATCACCATGATCACATCTCTGCAATAGGACTCTAGGAGCTGCCAGCAGGGGGGAAAAGTTAAAAAAAATATATATATATTATACATTTACAGGTGGTCCTCATTTAGCGACCTACCTGTTTTACGATGGCGCGCACTTACGTCCAGGCGTAAATGCGAGCCGTCGTGGGGATTCCCTGCTCTGGTATGCATGTCTGTGTTCGGGGAAACTTCCCCAAATATAGACAAATGCACCAGAGCAGGAAATCTCTCAAATCTATGTTCGTGGAAATCTCCATTTTGAATGCCCTGGGTTGTCTACATTTGAAAATGGTATGCCATGATGGGGTTATTTCCCATTTTTGGGCTACCATATAGTCTCAAAAGGCAACACAGACCCAGCAAACCAATCTGGCATACTGAATTGGGCAAGCCCTATATTGACCCTGTAACTTTCCAAAACACCATAAAAACTTATAAACACATAAAAGGAACTGAGAATCCAAGCCTAAAATACAATGTGAGAGAAAAAGAAAACAAAAAATTGACTACCCAAAACTTTGACAAAGACTGGTGGTAGAATTATTTCATGTAAAGTGTTAAAATATCACCTTTTGAAATGCCCTAGGGTATCTACTTTTTAAAAATATATGGTGTGATGCGGGTAAATTAATTCCCCAAATAGGACATGGGTGCATGATGACCAGCTGTGAAAATTCAAAGTTGGAAAACTGGAATGCGCACGCGCTAAATAAGGTATTTTAGCCCCCAGAGAACCCAACACACCTATACATGGGGGGTATCACTGTACTCAGGAGATGTTGCTGAACACATATTGGGTATTTCTAAACTCAGGACAAAATTTAGAAACTATGGGTGTTTTTTGGCGGTTGTAGATGCATAACAGATTTGGGCGGTCAAAGTTAGAAAAGGTGTGGGTTTTTTTTTTTAATTTTTATCATATTTTATAAAAATAAATTTATAGTAAATTATATGATATGATGAAAATAATGGTATCTTTAGAAAGATCATTTAATGGCGAGAACAACGGTATATAATATGTGTGGGTACAGCTAAACACAAACATAGCAGAAATGTAAAAACGGCCCTGGTCCGTTACGGTAAGAAAATTGAAAAACGGTCTGGTAACTAAGGGGTTAAAGAAATATCCCAAGCACCATAACCAGTACAGGTCGCTTTTATAATGGTTTGTTATGTTACCTGCCTGTCTGACTGTTGCTGCTTGGTGCCTCGTTCCGCTTCTACTGCTGACGTTGGCTCTCATGTTCTCAATGTGAGGCTTAGCTCAGAGAGGTAGCTTAAGGCTCTCTGTCGTCAGTAGTGAAGTCATTGAGTGGCATCTGGAAATCAAACCTTTCTAAAAAATCAATTTACAATTGGAGGATGTGTTAATACTGTACTCTGATACAAAATACTGATTTTTTTTTTTAATTTTTTTTTTTTTTAATTTTTTTTTTATTTTTTTTAACCTTTTTGGCACCTGTACTCCAGAGAAAATTCTGCTTTTAACTTAATTGCTACTTAATAAAATAAATTGGTTTTCAGGAGTCGCAACCAGAATTTGAGTTCAGATTCCAATGTGGATGATGGAGTCTTTAATGGCATGAAGCAAGACGCCCCTTCCTCCCAGCATCTTTTTTCAAGTCTGGCCGGTCTCCAACCTGGGCCAATAACCGTCCAGTCTGGTTTAGTGCTTGGCTCCTCAGCTGGAGGTGGTGAGGTGTTCATACAGATGCCACCTCCTCTTCGAGAAGAGTCTGGAGTACGTTCAGAGACAAGCCCTTTCATTCACCACCACCATCATCACCGGCCACAGCCACCGTCACATCTTCAGCAACATAGTTTTCAGCACCCTCATTCTCGACCCTCATTGCTGCATGCAGCTTCCGGGGAACGTCACAGAGAGGAGAGTAATGAAGAGCCTGGCACGCCCGCACCTGCTCTGTCAGAGCTCAGGGCCATTGTCTCCTGGTTGCAGAAGGGGCTCCCATTCATACTTATCCTGTTGGCTAAGGTCTGCTTTCAGCATAAGCTGGGTAAGTGTACACTTAAAGGTAACTTATAGTGAGCTCCCAAACCAACAAACATTTATTATAAATGCTAATTATAGATTTAATTCCTTTAAGAGCAGTTATATACTTATTTCCTATCTCTCTATCCAGCACTGTTGTTCCCAGGGGTCCCTATGTGTTTTACTGTTAACAAGAATGTTGGCTCCTTCTCTTGAAACCATGCTTACCTGTCTAATAACCAAATGTTGTCCTGCAGGCATAGCTGTGTGCATCGGAATGGCCAGCACCTTTGCTTATGCTAACTCCTCTGTGAAACATCAGGTTTCTTTAAAGGTAAGATTATGTATAGTGTTCTGTGAAGACAATATTTTGATATTCTAATAGGAATGTCACACCACTGTGCTAAAACTCTTATAATGCATATCTAGCTTCATAAGTTGATTGAAGATGATTGGTGGGTAATCAGTATTCAAAGCTGACTATACCTAGAACAGCCTTGACCTAGGAGTTTTCATGCCAAGGAGTAGTTTTGAGAGTGTTAATTTATACAATAAACATCATAAATAACTGCTAACCATGTTAGTCTGAGAGACGGGAAAGAAGTAAAGAAAGTCTTAAAAAAAGTTCATTGCCGATTTACTCATATGCAAAAATGTTTTGATATTTATTTCAATATTGGCTATAGTATGCTTGCTTGTAAAACATACCTGCAGTGCCCATTTGCAAATTAATATGTTTAGATCTGTTCATTTGGTTTTTAAGTGGACGTAGACAAGAATAAATAAAACTGAATATTTAAACTTTAATAAGGGTGTAATAAGAACGTTCAGAATGTGCCTAATTTTTGCAGCCAATTTGGGAAGTGGTCCGAACATGAAGCATCTATGGAAGTCTGTACTAGGTTAATGGCTTTCTGTTAATGTAGTGCTGTCATGTATGTTTTACTTTGAGTGATCAGCTTCTTAGTTTTGCACTCTAGCTTACTGTGTCATAGTAATGCTGATTTAGCTATACAGTACTTTGGTTCACAAAAGGGAACATAAATGATGCATTGAGCATCATGCTCCCATGGTAACAAATGTAACTAAAGAATACTCACAGGGTCCATTACTTTGCAACTTAAGGGCCATCAACCAGACTGCCTGAAAGGAGACAGACACTGTTTATCTAAGCATATTTGACTTTTACCGTATTTTCCGGCATATAAGACGACTGGGCGTATAAGACGACCCACAACTTTTCCAGTTAAAATATAGAGTTTGGTATATAGTCGCCGTATAAGACTACCCCTCTTCCAATGCACACCAAATAAAAATTAGCCATGATGTACAGTGAGCAGACAGAGCTACACAGCAAGACATTAAAGGACCACTATAGTGCCAGGAAAACATACTCGTTTTCCTGGCACTATAGTGCCCTGAGGGTGCCCCCACCCTCAGGGTCCCCCTCCCCTCCAGCTCTGGGGAGAGGAAAGGGGTAAAAACTTACCCTTTTCCAGCGCTGGGCGGGGAGCTATCCTCCTCCGTTCCTCCCATTCGGCTGAATGCGCACACGCGGCAAGAGCTGCGCGTGCATTCAGCCGGTTTCATAGGAAAGTATTTACAATGCTTTCCTATGGACGCTTGCGTGCTCTCACTGTGATTTTTCACAGTGAGAATCACGCAAGCGCCTCTAGCGGCTGTCAATGAGACAGCCGCTAGAGGAATTGGAGGAAGGATTAACCCATTTGTAAACATAGCAGTTTCTCTGAAACTGCTATGTTTATAAAAAAAAAAAAATGGGTTAATCCTAGCTGGACCTGACACCCAGACCACTTCATTAAGATGAAGTGGTCTGGGTGCCTAGAGTGGTCCTTTAAATAATGATAATCTGAAATAGCATTTAAAGCCCAGGTATGTGCCAGGCTGTTTGGGCATATAATCCATGCCTGCTGGTCTAGCACACAGGAGGCTAATTGCGATATATTCTTTTTAATCCCCCCTCCATTCTTTTTAATCCCCCCTCCATTCTTTTTTAATCCCCCTCCATTCTTTTTTAATCCCCCTCCATTTTTTTAATCCCCCTCATTTTTTTTAATCCCCCCCAATTCTTTTTTAATCCATTCTCTCCCCTCCATTCTTTTTTAATCCCCCCTCCATTCTTTTTCCATTCTTTTTTAACCCCCCCCTCCATTCATTCTTTTTAATCCCCCCTTCCTATTCTTTTAATCCCCCCCCTCCTTTTTAATCTCCCCTCCATTCTTTTTAATCTCCCCTCCATTTTTTTAATTCTCTATTCTTTTTAATCCCCCCTCCATTCTTTTTTAATCCCCCTCCATTCTTTTTTAATTCTCCTCCATTCTTTTTAATCCCCCTCCATTTTTTTTTTACTCCTCCCCCACTCCCACCCTCCATTCTTTTTACTCCCCCCTCCCTCCTTCTCACCTCCCCTTCCCTGTGCAGAGTGGGTGGCCGAGCTCCTCTTCGTCCTGTCAGTCCGACCAGGTACCGCACGGTACAGGGGATTCAGTTACCTGTTCCCGGCCGGACTGAAAGGAAGTGAGCACTCAGTGTGCACTTCCTTTCAGTCCGGCCGGGAACAGGTAACCGAATCTCCTGTACCGCGCGGTACCCGGCCAGACTGACAGGACGAAGAGGAGCTCGGCCACCCAGTCTGCACAGGGAAGGGGAGGTAAGAGAGGCAGTGCGGCAGCCGTCTGAGCGCTCTCTATAGAGCGCTCAGGCAGCTGCAGCATTAGAAAGGCCATATACCCGGCGTATAAGACGACCCCCCACTTTGTAAAAGATTTTCCAGGGGTAAAAAGTCGTCTTATACGCCGGAAAATACGGTATATACATTCCCATTATTTATTTATTTTTTGACTACACCAGCAGTATTTTAGGGATGATTTATAAAGACAATTCTCAGTCCTCTCATTTTGGAAACAGTTGGTCATTTCCACAGAGGGACGTATGATATGAGTAAATATTTAGAGATATGGGCATGTTATTTCTGTTATTGGTACTCTAAACAATTTATAGTATCCATATATCCTGTAGTGTTTTAGAGTTGTGCAGTTGGTAAATATGGAGCAGAAACTAACTGACAGACAAAATAATGTTGACAGTGGTGAAAAGAGCCCTTCTCAAACAAGACTTTCTCAATCGTACAATTAGAAATCCTTCTTTGTCTGGTGCTCAATGTTCAGCACAGTTATCAACCACAATTCACTATTTGGGGAATGAACCACATTCTCGCACACCAAAGTTTTTTTCTCTCTCTCTCTTTCTCTTTACTTTCACTTAATGTCATTAGTGTTGTTTTTAAAAAAGGGGGGGTTTGTCTAAACTCCAATTTCTATATCAGATGGATTGGCTGACCATGCTAGCCAACAAAGAACTCATTGACAAAAAAATGTCTTGACTTGGACATTCTTACTTGGGATGATACTTTCAGATCCAAGGTGAGAAGCACGTTGACGTACACAGTGTGGTTCTCGGCAGAGGTGGTGGCAGGTTGTGACCACCTTCGTAACACTCCTACTTGGCTGACAAGCATCTTCTCATCCAGACAACTACTTGACTTGGGAGGACTATGGGGTAACATGATGAGCTGACATCGAGTTTAGTTGTGTTTAGTGTTCTTGTTTGTACAGTTTCCCAAAAACTCAACACTAAGCGTCCTTCTCTGCACCAGTGAATTTTAAAAAGGATCCAAAGGTTGTAAACTCTACCCCTTACTAAACTTTCGATAATTGTGCTCTTACCTATTTAGCACTACACTCGCATTTCTTTCCTTAACACAAGAAAGCATGGTATCACTGTGGTCTTGTCGGGGTATCGAACCACTTGCCGGGGAATTTGATGTTATTCAGGTGTGAATTACATGCCAATCTGTTGCCTCAATCGGCAGTCCAATAGAGAGAATGACACCACCACTTGCTATTTGGACATCCCAGCGAAGTGGTTTGATCCCTCCTTTCAGGTTTGCAAGAGATGTGCTCAATTCATACCTTTCCAGACTATTCAGGTACTCATTGTGTAAATAGTGGTTAGGGTCAGACCAACAAATCTCTTACAACAATTGTTGAGATGTCACATCGACATCCTCAGATGCACCAAACAGACTGAGCAGATTGCTCATTATCAGCAACTTAGTAGGACTGGACGTTTTGAGTTTTATTTTTCTATTTTTTTTGGTGGCGGGAGAACAACTTATTCTCCGGTGGTTGTTCTTCCCCCACCATGGCATCACGCGCCCCCACACACACACACACACCTTCTTTTCCACCATCCCTTCCTCTTTTTTTCTCACTTTTTTAGTTTTGTTTTCCTATAATCAGAAACTGAAAATGAGAATGTTTATTACTGTATGCTATCATCTTCGATATTTTGATTTGTATCTTTGAGGACACTTCAATATGTCTTTGTACAACGTCTACAAACATTCTCGATAAAACAGTTTGAGGAAAAAATCCTTAGCAGTGCCATTTTACCTGCTACAATAGTCATTCCAAACTCTAGGAAAATATATTACCCATAAAGAAATTGTATAAAATATGCAAAGCTTTGTGGAAATCAATTATTTGTAATCATATCATTATAATAGTGACCTGGTCAATACAGTCCTAGTGATTGATGTGATGAAGGTTGCCTAACCCGTGCAGGAGCCAGAATAAAGTAGCAGGCAAGTGGGCGACTTTCCATTAAATGCCTTTCCGTACTTGAAATTCATAAGATTGTCTTGAGTATAGTATGTTTCTCTGGACCTGTTATTCATTTAGACCTTTAAACAGATTCTATTCTGCCTGCAATAACTATTGTACCACTACTCCTTTTACACTTTCTTTCCCTTTGATTATCATTCTCTGTTCATTTTCCCCCATCATGTTCAGTATTCAGTTTGATATTTGTTCATCTTCTTTGAAATTCATTAGCTGTTACTCATACATCACTAAGTAAACCTCACTCTAGTGACCTCCATATACCTTGTCAGACACATTATGCCAGAAAATATGAATATTATTCTATTACACACCCTACAGGTCATTGTGGACGTGGTCATATTTATTTATAAAATATTTTACCAGGAAAGATACATTGAGATTTCTCTCGTTTTCAAGTATGTCCTGGGTCCACAAATCATTGCATTGTTACATTAGGTACAACAAAATACAAAAACAATATTAATACACAATATATACAAAATTTAACATAGAACAGGCAGGAAATATATAATCAACCGTGACCGGTACATTATGTTTTGAGGTATGTAGAGAGGGATCTCTTAAATGACTTTAGGCTTAGGGAAGATTTTAAATTGTGCGGGAGGTCGTTCCACAATTGCGGTGCTCTATAGGAGAAGGAGGATCGGGTCGCTTTCTTTTTGTATTGAGGTAGACTAAGTAAAGTGCTTGTACTGGATCGGAGCTTATAGAAAGCTTATATAATAATTAATATCCATATGAATAATTATAATTTTTACTATTGAGATGGGCAATAACATTATACATTTTTATTAAATATTTTAAATATGTTGTCCCATAATTATCCCTACAACCTTTATTGTTTTTGTATAGTACAATATATGCAAACACTAACTTATCAAAAATTTAAATTACTATACCAACAGTACAAAATGTTTTCCCTCTTTTAATATCAGATCCCCCCACACTGCTTTCAAATTCAGCTTGTTTCCCAAATCTATAAAAATCAACATGAGGCATAAAAATCAGTTAATGTTTTATTTATTAAGCATATTTTCCAAAACACTTTTTTATTTTACATAATGTAATAGTAAGACACGAGGACAGCTGCCAAAATGTATCTAGTGAATTATTACAAGTTTCTCCAAAATACAGCAAAGACGTACCTCTGCATTCACAAAAAGTCATCCTTCAGCACTCCGGAAAGGAAAAACCTCCTATGGAGGAAACCTCTGGGGAACCATGGCTTGAAGAACTGCCCTTCCCTCTAGGCTTAAAGAGGCACATATGGAGAGTTTTATAGAAGCAGGGCTTTCTCTTTTTATGTGATATTTAAAATGATGGACATACAGAGACACTTAGGAAGATATTTATCAAAGTGTTCTAAAATGGATGGTTCAATTCCTTCATTATTTTGATCATATTATATTAAAGTGTTCTAATATGATACAGAGAGCCCACTTAAAGGACAATGAAATAGCTGGCTAGGGAGTTTCCAAAGGAACCACAGTGCATGTGCTGTGTTTCTATGCTTTGGAGAGCAGAAGAACCACCTGTGCGAGGTCTTTTCTGTTGTGCCTTGCCAGTCAATAACTCAGCACACCAAGGCATTGACTAACTGCTAGGGGAAGTGCGTATTTATAAGCCTATGCAAGCTCAAACAGCTTAAAAAAAATAAACATTGAAAGAAAATAAACAATGACTGGCCCCATTTTAGATGATCCCAATGCCCCCTTCCAACCTAGATGAATGACCCACTCTTTAATTTAGGATTTGTTCTTCTCCCCCTCTTACAGCACGTGAATCGCCTACCCTTTAATTTTGGCTAAAACCCACATAACTTTAACAGCCCTATCAGACACAATAAAAAACAGCTAGCCCCTTTTTATGTGATCCCAGTTTCCCCTCCTAACATTGATGAATCATCCACCTTTTAACTTCGAATTTGTTCCCACCCACCTACCAAAGCAGGTGAATGGGCCCATCCTTTAATCTGGACAAAAACCCATGTAACCTTAGTGGAAAGCCCCATCAAAAGGCAATAAACAACGGCTAGTCCCATTTTAGGTGATCCCAGTTTCCCCTTCCAACATAGATAAATCGCCCACCCTTTAATTGTATCAAAAACCCATGTAACCTCAACAGAAAGCCCAATCAAAGGACATTGAACTTTGACTGTCCCCACTTTAGATGATCCCAATTCCCCCTCCCAACTTAGATGAATTTCCCACCCTTTCACTTAGGTTTTTGCCTAAACCCTTTAGTTTAGGCAAAACCCCATGTAACATCAACAAAAAGCTCTATCAAAGGCACTGAACAATCACTGACCCACGTTAGATGATCCCAATGCCTCCTCCCAACCTAGTTGAATTTCCCATCCTTTAATTTAGGATTTGTCCCAATCCTCCTCCCAAAGCAAATAAATGGCCCACTGTTTAATTTAGGCAAAAACCCATATAACCTCAACAGAAATCCAGATCAAAGGACAATGAACATTGACTATCCCCACTTTAGATGACCCCAATGCCACCTCCCAACCTTGATCTATTTCCCACCCTTTTAAGTTGGGGTTTGATCCCATCCCCCACTAAAGCAGTGCATCACCCACCCTTTAATTTAGGCATAAGCCCATGTCACTTCAACAGAGAGCCTGCTCAAAGGACAATGAAAAATGACTGGCCCCACTTTAGTTTATCCCAATAACCCAACCCAAACTAGATAAATTACCCACCCTTTTAACTTCTTGTTCCCATCCCCCTCCCAAAGCAAGTGAATAGAACACCCTTTAATTTAGGGGGGGGGGGACATGTAACCTCAATAGAAAGCCCCATCAAAAGACCTTAAAAAATGGCTAACCCCATTTTAGCTGATCCCAGTTTCCCCTCCCAACGTAGATAAATCACCCACCCTGTAACCTAGAATTTGCTCCCATTCCCCTCCCAAAGCAGTTGAATGGCCAACCCTTTAATTTGGTCAAAAACCCATGTAACTTTAATGGAAATCGCTTTTAAAAGACAATAAACAACGGCTAGCCCCATTTTAGGTGATCAGTTTCCCTACCAACGTAGATAAATCACCACCCTTTAATTTAGACTAAAATCCCATGTAACCTCAATAGAAAGCCTTATCAAAGGACAATAAACATTGACTGTCCTCACTTCAGATGATCCTAATGCCCGCACCCAACCTAGATGAATTTCCCTCCCTTTATTTTAGGATTTATTCCCAGCTGGTGAATGGCCCACCCTTTAATGTAGGCAAAAACCCATGTAACCTTAGTGGAAAGCCCCATCTAAAGACAATAAACAATGGCTAGTCCCATTTTAGGTGATCCAAGTTTCCCTCCCAACATGGATAAATTGCCCACCCTTTAATTTATGCAAAAACCCATGTAACCTCAATAGAAAGCCTGATCAAAAGACAATGAACTTTGACTGACCCCAATACCCCCTCCAAACCTAGATGAATTTCCCACCCTTTCACTTAGGATTTGTTCCCATCCCCCTCCCAGGTGAATACCCTTCAATTTAGGCAAAAACCCATTTAACCTTATGGAAAGCATCATAAATGACAACATCTAGCCCTATTTTAGGTGATCTTGTTTCCTCTCCCAACGTAGATGAATCACCCAACCCTTTACCAAAGCAGGTGAATGGCCCACCCTTTAATTTAGGCAAAAACCCATGTAACCTCAATGGAAAGGCCCATTAAAAGACAATAACCAACAGCTTGCCCCATTTTAGGATTTGTTCCCATCCCCCTTCCAAAGCAGGTAAATTGCCCACCCATTATTTTAGGCAAAAACCCATGGAACCTCAAAAGAAAGCTCAATCAAAGAATAATGAACATTGTCTGTCCCCACTTTAGATGATCCCAATGCCCCCTCCCAACTTTGATGAATTTCCCACCGTTTAACTTGGGATTTGTTCCCATCCCCCATCGAAGCAGGTGAATCGCCCACACCTTAACTTAGGCAATAACCCATCTAACCTCAGTGGAAAGCCACATCAAAAGACAATAAACCACTATTGATCCAATTTTCGGTAATCCTAGTTACCCCTCTCAGCATAGATGAATCACTCACCCTTTACCTCAGGTTAAAGCCTATGTAAATTCAAACAGCTGAAAACCCAATAAAAAGAAAATGAACAATGACTGGTCCCACTTTAGATGATCCAAATTCCCACCTCGCAACCTAGATGAATCGCCCACCCTTTAACTAAGGATTTGTTCCCATCCCCTCCCACCGCTTGGTTATAGTTTCATTCTCTACCTGTTGTGGATTCCGCTCATGTAGCCCTCTGATGCGGATTTTTCATCTGCAACCTTGATTGTCCAAATGTTCTAAACGTTGTCACATCTTTCAAAGCAGTGATGTTTGGCATCACTTGACATGTCCTTAGTTCTCTGTTGTTAGTAGAAGCATTGCGCGTCTGTCTCCTCAGCTTTTAGCCTGTCTTCAATCCCCTCTAATGCAGAGCAAATCTTGCCATTTCGGTGCATATTGCAGACACAAATGTCTTTAAATCATCTCTGGTAGTCATTGCTTTTGGAATTCCAAGTTTGGATTAAGTTGCATGAAGCAGTAAGGGCTCAGTCCAGGTGGGGTTCTTATATCTCTATCCTCAGTGACATGCATGCTATTGACCCTCCATTTTGTAGATCAGATTTAGTTTACTCAATGTACAAGTATACAGGCACATAAAGTTGAGACATAGATTCCTATGTCATTGAGATGGTAAAGATGAATCTGTGTCAGAGCCTTAGATCTGTCTGGGAGGAAACAGAATGTTCAAGCAGTCACAGCCATATTTGCATCTATGACATCACAACATAGCATTATGATTTAAATGTATATGAGGTAGAAGGGAGAAGACAGTCCTAATAAGTACAAAACTGATTTTTATTACAATGTGAAGGGAGTTTTCATAATTATATATTTTATAGCCATCTAAAAATGGTTTCTCAACTTTTATACCTTCAGAGATTTGTGTTTAATACTATATCCACATTTACGCTTTTATTTAGAACCAATTCTTTTTCTCTTCATCCTGAGCCTGTTCCTGCTCTATTTTCATTCTCCTTCCCCTATACAGTCATTATCAATGGCATCCCATTACATTCTCCTATTTTTATTTCTCATCAGTTTATATTCAATAAACCAAAATTAGTCGTTAATCAAGTACATATGGGTACATTTAGGTCCAGTAAGACTTGAAAACAAATGTAACACATCTTATTTTCCACTTTCCTTTTTTTTTGTGTAAAATGTACAACACAGTTGTGAATTAACTGCAATTTACAGTAGACAGACTTTATGGGCAGCAGATTTAAATAATTGTTTCTCTTCTTTCTACATCATTTGGGCTTTTGAGTGATTGAAAAGTGGATCTGATCACTTAAGCTAATGCATCAGATCTGCTTTTAGGATAATGCAAATTTGGTACTTGTGTAAGACCACCTGTTTATCAGGGTCTTAAAGCTGTTGTCCTTTTTTGCTAACGACCTTGACTTTAATATTTCCTTTCTTTGTTTTGCAACTGAATCCATGAAAAACCATATGCACCACAGTACTAACTTACAGAAGGTGGATGTGAATTATCAGCACAAGGGCTTGCTGGTCAGGTGACCTACCAGTTTGACCCTGTAGGCTTGTAGCCATATCTAAATGTTTTATTATTGCCTCAGATTGTGTATTGACATAAAATTTGCATCAACAACAGACAGGTAAGATGGACCCATGTTGTGGTACTGGAAGGGATCAGCATTGAAGAAGTTGTGCACAGAAGAGTGCTATGAGGATGGTTTGCTGGGAGTGCTGGGTGGGTGGGATGAGATCAAGTGCTTAACCTTCCTGAAAACCTTATAGGTACAGCCATGGGAGGTTAGTTATTCTGGGAAAGAGGGCCTAACGTAGGTGACAAATGTAAGGAAGGGAGGATGATCTGAAAAAGGTTAATGTATCTTAGAAGGAAAAGTTGTATGGGAAAAGTGACTATTTAAAAAACAAAGTTCAAACGTAAAAAAGGTTTGTGTACAAAAAGGAAAGTATAGAGATGAAATGTAAAGTGGGTGTGAGAAGAAAAAAGATGCGAATAATGGGATTATAAAAACGGCCGGGTTTTAAGTATGTACAGCAAGTGACATTGGAGGGACTGTGTTCTGAGTGTGTGAAATTGAGGACAAGAATATTCATATTGGATCCTCTTGGTTTCTGGCATGCCAACCACGGCTTATGTGCTGTTTGCACTATGGTTACTCTTCTAGCTAGCACTTTTTTCACTGACTAGCTGTATAGGAATGGAATGACCAATGCCCCTGAGACCCAGCCCTCAGTCTTTACTCATTGTGAAGTATGCAAAAATAAATGATAAAAACAGGAATATATTCTAATTTAAACCTGAGAGTGGTGCACAAAATGTAGTTTAAAAAAACAGGTAATGTGAAGATGTTTTGTTAATAGTGTAAATGCTGAGATCTATACAGTAGTTTGCATTGTTGCCACACAAGGTATCTTCACTGACCAAAACAAACAAGGCTATAAGCATTAGAAATAATGTCCCTGTCTGCACTTGTGCTTCATAATGAGATGCACAAACCGAGACTTGATCATGACATTGATGCATTCATTTCTCAGAATTTGTGTTGATCCTTCTGCCCTTTTGCTTGCATGTAGTTTGTTACCCATGAGAGATTTTCTTGTTTAGTTTGGTTTGGGTTATATTTGTTATCGTCATTCTGCCCTCCATTCATAGTAACCACCTCTGTACCATTAATAAGTCCATCGGTTCTCGTGACAGCATTACAAAAGAACTACCATTAAGCAGTTTTCAATGTCAATTTATCCCTTTTCAGTTTGTTTGAGAACAAAGTTAGCATGTTGGAATTATTAGCCACTGTTGGAAGGAATAGAACAGAAAAAAAGTTGACACTTCAGCTATTTGAATGAAATTAGTTTTCAGTATAAAACCATGGATTTATTTTATTATAGAGGGCACATAATGTTTTTTTTATGAATAAATGTTGTACCAGGATTGTCCTTTTTTTTTTAATTAGGTTCAAAACTGTCTTTAACACTATAGCCATTACAGCGCGAGTAGTCCACAAGAGATTTAAAAGTGATCCTGCTGAGGTTTAAAGAATGGTTATTTATCTTCATAGTGTGTTCGTGATAATGAGTGTTTGTAATCATGGAAAGTGCTTGTTTGTTTTATTAAACAAATATAATGATTAATGTATTCGCATTAATCATTATATCTTTGCTATGGCAATTTATACGCCTTACAGCAGGGATAGCTTTTTCTTGGCCTTTCGATTTTTCTTCTTCTCTCCTTCGCAAATGAGACCACATTGATGAATATATAATTTCTTTTGTAGATACAGTTTACAGGTATGAAATGCCACCTTATGAAATGATTAATTCTCTTTATGATGTTTGTATCTAGTAAGAGAGGTGTTCTACTGCAACCAATGTGTTAGGATGTTAGAAAATCAGGGAACTGTCCTAAAACAGCCAGGATTTCCCTGTGAGAACATGTCAAAATGCAGTAACTTAGTTAGACAATTGAGTACAGTGTATCTATCTGTGGTTGACTATTTCTCTCCGGATACTCAGCCAGGCTTCTGGTACCTTGTGCTCTGGCTTTGCTAAGTTAGCTGTGACTGCTTTAGTAAATGGCCAAGTTTGTAACCTATCTATTTTACTAGTTCATTGGGTATTTAAGCCAAGCTGTTTTGTGGAGTATCCCATAATGTATTGTGTTTATGCCTGTACAGAGAAAGTATCTAAGTTTAACGTGAAGGTGATAATTCCCTCTTTTTTTCTTTTGCCTTTTTCATTAGGAGAAGCGGTCAGTCTTAACGGTGTTTTGGATTGTGTCATTTCTGATGGGTAACACCCTGTATCTTCTATATACCTTCAGATCTCAACAACTGTACTATAGGTGAGTCTTTCAACACATGCTTCTACATTTGATTAAAGCAAACATAGCTGTTCTTCACAGGTAAAAATATGCGTACAGAGCACATCATATGGATAAAAATACACAACTGTGTAAAGGCAAATGCATAACTGACTTCAGTGCAAGGATTCAAACTGTTTCTTAATGGGCATGTGTATTTATTAGCTAAAAAATAAATCACAGTGAACCCAGAGATTTACTCTTGAAGAAATATTTAGACTCCAAACATACCACATGGATGGAAAAAACATCCAATTTCTTTTTCTTCTTCTCCCAAGCAAATCACACTTGTACTTGGCATTTTCCCCCAGTCTCCCACCACCAAGAGTAATAGTAAACACTATAGAGAAAAGCCCAGGTATAGTGCTGTTCAAATATATTTGCACAGTAATACAAGTTTACTTGGTGTTGTCTCTATACTTTTACATGTTCTTTGAAAAGAAAGCTTAACCGTTACCTTAGATTTGAGCCTATTTAGAACAATAAACCTGGGCCTTGATGCACAAGTATTCATGGGAAAATGCCTGCCTTACATAGCAATGCAAAAAACATAGAATCACAATTCCCTCACACTTCATTCCAGTAAACCCTCCCACATTATATACTAAGACAAAAAGAGACACCTCCCCTTTAATATCTACGTAGTATTTTAAAACAGATCTGTCTTCAAGTATAGACTTTAAAATTAAACAGAGGTCCAAACATTGAGTTTAATCATCAAATCAATGGGTGCATTTATGTTTTCATTTGCATAACAATATTGACATATTGAGTATATTAAGTACTGATGCTCTATTTCCAGTCTAGCCCATCTAGTTTTTAATATATATTACAGCCAATAGAATAAAGCACTGACTGCTAGTTAAGGTATTATTTTTTGAATTACATTCACTGTGGTTGCAGCCGATGTCATTGGTCCTCTCTGTACTCCCAACAGTACATTTCATAGCATTGTGATGATCAGGCAGCACTCATTTAGGGATCTGTCTTCGAAACCACACCTGATCAGGCACAGCAGCAATTTTGTAATTCTGTATGGATTAGGTCAGTCACTGTGTGTGTGTGTATATATGAGGGAGGAAAAAATCCAGTAAAAAAAAAAGGCATTCATTTTTACTTTTGATTTATTTGTTTTTGTTTATTTTATAACATGTTTTCATCTTCCTCCTTTAATTATTTACTTCTATGTTTTAGGTTTTCATTTAGTCCAGTGTTGTGTGTGAGTATTTTTCATTTATTTTCTCATCCTTTTCTGTTTTCAGTCACATTGTATTCTGTTTCCTTAATAGTTAAATCCATGCTTCATTTGGGAATGCGTCAGGAACATGTGCATGTGGGAGAGTGGGACACAGTGACAATGAATGTCACTTTAAAATGAAGTGGTTTTTAAAGTCAGAGGTCAGCAGAGAGATATTAAGAACACGCTTGTCAGCTAGAGGTTGTACGCACTGTTCAGAGAACAAGTCTTTTTTCAGGTCTTCTGCCTTTTCCGTTCAGTAATTGGTACAATGTCATACTGTTTACGAAGGGAACTCGTATGGTTTGTTACCCACAAAGTCAATACCAAAATCTTCCTGAGATTTTTATGTTTTATTTATTTTAATAATAAAATCTATAAATTAAAGTGAATTGATTACTGTAAAATTCCATTGAGACGAGAGTGTGTGTTGGAGAATCTCTTGCTGTAATCAATAATTGCAAGAACTATAAAAAGTTGTTTGTTTTTCTGCTTACCCGATGTGTGGTCACACAAGAGTTTGACTGTCGAGTGTGCGGTGTATGAGCGTTTGTCTGCTTGGTCTCCCTATTACTTCTATTCCCAATTCATTGTTACTATTCCTTCTGTTCCGCCAATACTTTCACTTCCTCCTCCCTGTTCAAGCGGTTTTTTTTTTTCCAACCGTGAACACTCAGGTATTATGTACAAAAATTTAAATGTATTCTGAGTTTGATACTGGTTGGTTTTTATTGTTTTTGTTTTTGTTTTTTTGTTGTTTTTTTTTTATATATATAATTTTTTCATTTCTGCATCATCTCTTTTTTAATCTTTTCTTCAAATACCAAGAATCTCTAGGCAACTTATTGTCTCAAATAGTTCTCCAGAGCTGCCCTAATTTTAAGGCAAAATAACTATAAAATGTAAGATCATATTAGTTACTAGTGCAGTAATTAATGAGCATATGAAACAACAGAATCAGTGCAATTCATCTTTTACTGTGCTAATTATTGTTGTTTTCCTTTACATTGTTGTTCAGTCTTATTTTTCTGAAACCCAATCTCGAGGGCCTGGACTTCTTTGAACTCATCTGGATTGTGGGCATATCAGATTTTGTCCTGAAGTATATCACAGTGTCCCTGAAGTGCCTGGTCCTCAGTCTCCCCCGCATTGTCCTAGCTGTAAAATCAAAGGTAGAATCAACCACTATGTTTTGACCTCTACCAAATGTTTGTTTTAAGTATATTTTAAATATATTGTACCAGCGTACAAGGACAGGTTTCTGTTTTATAAAAAAGCTTTGCTGATTTGACAAATTGTGTTGTCATGTATTTTGTGTTATGCCAGCTTTCTAATAAGCAATGTAGGGTTATTTACTACAGGGTGTATTGTTAAGAATTTAAAGTGATTTTCAAATTTTAGAAAAATTACCCAAACTATGTTTTCAGATCAGCTATGTTGAATTCCTGACAATTCATACTTTAGTGAATATCCCTGTTAATTCTAGAATTTATTCTTGTGTGTCACCTATGTGTTATAAGGCAACATCTAGAAACTTTGATTCACACATAGGGTGTGACACGTTTATTCAGTAAAGTGAACATTTAAGGTGATTTCAAAGCGAATTTTACATAAATTCTCTTAGTCAACAGTACTTTCAGTTTGGCTACTCTGGCCTTAAATTTGAAATTCACTTTGAATTCTCACTTTAGTAAATAACCCGGACAGACTGCAATCAATTTTTCAGATTTACAACCAATGCGTATGCAGGCTCCCTTATCGGTGGCAGTGTATTAAAGCACAGCTTTTTCATTCAGTGCATAAGTTATGATCCAAGTGGACAAATGGCAATATATAAAAAAGGTCCCTTACCCCCATCATCATCAGATTTCTTGAACATAGCATACTTTTGCAATGCTACTTTGCAACTATGATACACTATGTATTGCAGTTCAAGTATATATTTTTAGAAGCCAGTATCTTTGTTTGAAAAATATACCAGAAACTCATACAAATATTGATTCTGATGGCGAGCAGACAAGAACGAATTGGCCTCGTAGCTGTCTATTTTAAAACCTTAAGACTGATTTTCCATGTCGTGGATTGCTATTCCAGGAATCTCCTACCTTTTCTGTTAGGTACTACTAAATTATGTAAAACTGTGAAAAATGCTATCTTTTCAATAAAGTGTAGAATCTCAAGTTTCTGTTTTATCCCCATCTACTCTATAATAAATCAAGTTGCAGCCAAATACAGCATCAACCAACTGCAGTGTGAGCTCAGATGGCACATGTGCTAAATTTATGGAGACACTATAATATCTTATTCTGTTGCTGTTTTGTCTGCTGGCAGTATTTACTGTGGATAATTATATCTTAGCAGAGATTTAGTAGTTGTTGTAGTTGTTCCAATTATCTTATAATTCACTGTTCAGCTATTCTCAGATTCACAAAGGGACAGCTATTGGACAATACCTATACATGGTTAGACTAGTTTCTCAAGGGGACGTATAATTATACAGATAAGTATTTTTAGATTGCCAACGTGGGACTAGTTAATCCGAGGGTCTGCAACTCGTTCCTCATAGAAAAACTGCCAGTAATCCTGTTTTCAATCTTCCTTTGACGTCAGTGGACCTTGACTGTACCTGATTGGTGAGAGAAATATTTTATCAATGAATTTTTGAATCATGGTAATCGCTAAAATGAAAAAGGAAGTGCTCCATTCATTCCACGTGGACTGACTAGGAATGATGAGCCTGTAATTGCCATATATTTTACTGTACCCTTGAAATAACTTGCACCCTTTAAATAATGATGGACTTATCCAGAATAATTTTTTATTTATAGTTCCATTAAAAATACATTTTGTGTTGAATGTTCATTTACTAGGATCATATGAATGTACCACGTTTTCTCCTAAATTGATCTGGTTTCTAAATTTTACAGACACTTGTCAGCTGCTGCATTAAAAGTCAGCATTTATGAATACATACATTAATGTAACATTCTATATCGAGTGAACTGTTGTTATTTGGAACCTATAGTCCACATTGGCACAATATGCTTAAATCTTCCCCTGTGAATCGTGGAACCAGCAACATTGCAAACAAGTTAAAATAAAGTAGCATTCCACTTTAAGGATGCTGAAAATGACCCTGTTTATCATTTTTAATATAAATACTGTGTTGTAAGTAGGCCTACCCCAGTAAAGTTCATGGAGTTGGTGTTTTTTGATAGGTTTGTAATTCCCATCTTATCATTGGCAGACAAGTGCCACCGGCACATCAATTAACTTTTGGCATCACAGGAATGCAGCCAGGCATCTCTTCATTTGTCCCTGGCCCTTATCCAAAATGTGCTTCCCTCCCCCTTCTCTCTTTCTTTAGCATCTTTTTGTTTTGGAGGGAATTAATATTCTGAAGCTGAACCGGCAGCAATGATCTCTCTCGAGATAAATTGCTTCATCAGAAAAGGTTCAGAGCCGCTCCGCAACTCCCCATTCCACCTACCTACAAATTGGAGCAGTCATTAATCTTTGTCATTGTGCTAGCGCATGCTAGGAAGGAAAGACACCCCAAACTCCCACTGAGGCTTTGTCTCACATGAAGAATAGAGCTTTTTAAGATTAAATTGGCCCAGGATTACAGCACCTATGATGGGCATTTTTTATTAACTCTCAACTGCATGCCACATCAGATAAATAGGTATTATGTCATTGCATGTGGCAGTAATGCTTCGCTTCTCACTTTTAACCTGTTGTATGTGAATAAGCAGTGTGTTCTCAAACCCAAAGGGTTAAAGAAAAAATGCCAGCAAGAATTGGCCTTGCCAATCAAAGTAGATATAGGGTACGTTTAGCTTGATTCTCTGCTGGCATAAATTTAAGATGGTAGGTTTAGCATTTACTGGTATAGTTTGTTCAAAATCAGAATGTTCTTTTTAATCTGTATTTGTTTCTTGTTTAGCAGCTTCTATGCAGATTAATATTGTTCTGAAGGGCTGCATATTAGAATGCACTTTGTGTTTGATGTAGAGTCCTCTTTTGGTGTGACCGGGCAGATACAGGTTGCAACAAGGCAGGGAAGACATTATCTAACAATGTGTAATCATTCTGTTAATAAATATTATTCACATGGTGGCTGCAAAATACAGAGTATGTGACTGAAATCCAGATGTAACATTTTGCTATGTAAGCCTTAAGGCTTTCCTTATCGGGTGTGTATTTGGAGCAGTGTTTTAGATTGTTCGAACAATACCATCTCAGAGTTTTTTTTACTTTCCTGATATGTTTGTAGGAATTAATAAGAAAAATATCTTTGTCTTTAAGCTGAAAGTAGCATGGTGATTTTGTAAGTGTAGCACTCCCCTAAGAGATTTGCTAGGTGAGCTTACAATTCCCTTGCAGTGCGTTGTATGTTTGGTGCTTGGGAAAATGTGCAGGTAATATATTTAATCATTTTTCTTTTTTTTGTTTATACGTTGGGGCTAATACTTTAACTATTGATGCCACCCAAGAGAGCCTTTTGAGTGCAGGGATAATTTATGCATAGTACCTTTTTGTTTAGTACTTGGAGTTAGAGTATAAAATATCCTCTGCTTGAAGAGTGGTGGCCGTTTACTTACTTTGTGTTAACAATTGATTCTTTTCTTTTTTATTTTTTTTGCACAATCCATTCTGTTGTTTTAGAATTCATCTTGCTTCTCTTTGTTCCGTATAGAGGAGAGTGTTGAATGATAACCTTATCTGCAGCTGGTAACCCACATGCGGACACAGAGTTTCAGCTGGCCACAGGTTCCCGGGGTTGGATATCCCGACTCGTTGGAACACACAAAATATTTTTCTCACCAGGAGGAAATGGCTCATTGAATTACTAGTCAGACAATTTAGTAAGGAAATAATAGAGGTACATTCATTTTAGCCACACAAACACATCTGGTCGGCACTCGATCACAATACCGATTATTTGGGTGCCACTAGCAGAGAGCCCAGTACAGTCACAGATGCTGTTTGATGATTAAAGCTTGAGAGCTTCCAGGTTTCTGCATGGTGATTTTGGTATCCCTTTAGCCAACGGTTTGATTAATAAGTAGTCTTCAGCAGAACTGCCAGCTGACAATGTTTTGTTTGCACAGCAATTGTTTCCACTGGTACATCTTCATTTGCACTGATGGGAGAGATGATGATCACTTAGTCCTTGGCTGCAGTTATAAGCTGCTCGATTTTGCCTATTGAAAAATGACTTGAAATGTGGCATGCTGCACCTTTCCTGTCTGTTTCCTAAGCTCTGATCTCATAGGCATAGTCAATCAAAAAAGACAGCTCCAAATCTGCTTAGATTGGAAAACCTAGCCTGAAAAATCCATAAAGATTGCACTTCTGCAAAAAAATACATCTTTGTGATTAAAAATGCCCTAATATAGCATAAAGAAACAAAAAGCTAAATTGTTTGCTTAAAGACAAACTTATGTATTTAAGGATTTACATGTCCTGTCAGTACAAAAGAGGTGTTGATAAATCACATTTTTATCCATTTACTTGATGCAGCTTTTGTGACCTCTCTAACTCTGGAACATAAAGCAATAAATGTTTGCCCTTCAGAGGAACAGACTAGATAGAATGGTCAAAACCAGTAAGTTTATTCAAATAATGCATGAGCACAAAGATTCAGAGGTAACCACAGAGCCCCAGGTATTTCAAAAGGCTTGTACCATACTTCCTTACCATCATGCCCAACTGTAAGCAGTAGTGTATTTTGGTTTTGTGCTGCCCTAGGCGTGACTAAAACTTGGCGTGACTAAAACCGCTAATCTAAATTTGTCTCACCCCACCTCTAACTGATTAAGAACTCACCCCATTCCTCTTTAGACTACACCCTTTCCTGCTCCTTTTAAAGGGATACAATAGTGCCAGGAAAGTTTTCCTGGCACCATAGTACCCTCCTCCCTCTTGCTCCCCCCTCCCCCCCCACTCAGCACTCAAGGGGTTAAAACTCCAGTCATTTACCTGAATCCAGTGCGGATATCCCTCAGCGCTAGATCGGGCTCCACCTCCTGGCTTGCGTAGGAAAGCATTTTATCAATTATTTCAAATGGGGATTTAGCAGACGCTGGATGTGCTCATGCACGGTGTAAGGACGTCCAGCATCAGTTAGGCAACCGCCACCCGGAAGGAGTTAACCCCTCAACGTAATTCTTGCAGTTTCTGAGAAACTGCAATAATTAAACTTGCAGGGTTAAGGGGAGTGGGGCCCTGCACCCAGACCACTTCAATGAGCTGAAGTGGTCTGGGTGCCTATAGTGATCCTTTAAGGACACATTCTGACAGGCACACACACATTCACTGGCAGATACACACTGACAGTTACACACACACAGACTCAATGACACAGTCACACACTCATACTCACATACACTCACATGCACACAACATACACTCACACACACACACTAATTATTATTATAATACTTTTAATTATTCACCCAGCCTTCCTACCTGTCGTTGGGTGACCAGTGGGGCTGCTGTGAGAGCTGTGCATGCTGCTGTGTTAGATTTAGAGGCAGCGAGGCAGCTGAGATCGCGCTGCTCTACTCCCTCGTGCCTCATGGGCTTTCTACTAATGCTGGGAGCCGGAATTACATCATATTCCGGCTCCCGCGGCATCCGCAAACGGCGCGCGAGGGAGCAGAGCAGGGAGATCACAGCTCCCTTGCCGCCTCTGATTCTAAAATAGCTACACACTAGGGGGTCCATAAGGTGGACAGCAGGCCACCTTATGTAAGCCCCATGACAGGGGGAAACACCTGGTTAGTGCCGCCCAAGGCAAATGTATAATTTGCCTTGGGCTAAATACAGCACTAACTGTAAGTATTGGCATTCAATGCTCCTGCTAACTTATATAGAATGTACCAGTCAATATGCTTTTATAGAAGCTTTCTAAGCATTGTATTCACAGTGAAGGGCATTGGACATCCTCATGCATGAGGACGTCCAGTGTCTTTATAATCCCTGTAATTCCTATGGGGAAGTTCTAACATACAAGCGGCATTTGCTGTGCATGAGCATTAGGTTCCCACATCACCGTGACATCACTAAAGGAGGAGTTCAATCCAGCACCGAGGGACCTTAGCACTGGAATCAGGTAAATGTTAAAACGGGTTTTAAGCCTTTATTCACTGGGTCAGGTAAGGGACCCTGTACCATTTGGAATGCAGTTTTGTATTCCTAACGTTGTGTAGTTCCTTTTAATTTCAAATTCACTTTGAATTTACTTCAAATTCTTTAGTGAATAACCCTGTTATTCATCATTATGTAACATTAAAGCGGCACTGTCATGGCCGAATGCAGGTTTGTTTGTTTTTTAACCCTGCTCCCAACTCCACTACATCTAATTGTCCCCCTAGTCTCCCCATATTATCTATTTTTATATCTTCATTTCGTGCCCGGACCTTTGTGTGGGCAGGTGAAGTCCCTGTGGGACACGTCATCTGCCCACAGTAGATAGCACTGTGAAATTCTTGCGCATGCCCAGTTAAACACTTGGGCATTCGCTATTGTTCGAAATTCGGGCAGGAATTTCATCTATTCATTCGTCAGAAAGACAAAGGAATTAATAGAAATTTCACACGAACAAACACCGAACATCGGTTTATTACAAGGAGGGAGCTACCGGCTCACAGCTCTCTCCTTGTAATATGTAAAAATAGAAGCGGAAGGAAGCTGCGTTCCCTCCCACTTCCTTAGCCCCCATGTCCTTCCTCGCTCTATGAGGATCAATATAGCAAGTACGGGCTTGTCTACTAAACAGTGAGCATGCACCCCCCCCCCCCTTTAGAACAAATGGCTCCATGGTGGGGCATCTATTCTCCAATTGTCTGCTCTATAATGCTCATAGAAACTTAACAAAAAACAACAAATCCAAAATGTAAAGGGTTTTTGTTTTGTTTGTTTTTGTACTATTTTTTATTATTTATTACTATTAGTTACAAAATTCTTATACTTTGTATCCTACTTTCTCTAACTGATTTGCCCACATACATTTTCTCTAATGCTGTACAGTTTGTTCAATAAAAAGTATACCAAATGGCTACATTTGTGCGAAAATATTACTGGAAAAAAATATCTTACATTTTACAGTTTTCCATACTTGGCTTTTGTAGCTTAGTTTTGTAAAGTTTAGAATTTAACAAAATCCCAGTTTAGTGAATAACTATTTTTCCACAAGATCCGCTTTGATGATATTCAGACCCTATCTAGATTCATTGTGTTGGAGAAAAATAAATGTAATACATTGAGTGAAGGCAGGCATTTAGGGTAGGAGAGCTTTGTTAGTGTTCAGACTGCTTCATTTTGCATAAGGTAAAAAGCATTGAAGAAACATAACGTCTTTGCAATAATTTCAATAATGTATTTCAGTGTATGTGTGTGATTGATTTTAGAGGAGTAAATTAAGAGCCAGGTAAATCCAACAGAGGGAGACAGAGAGTCAGGAGACAGGTTGTCATCCAGCAGATTACGTAATGCTGCTGTTTTGTGATAGCAACTAGAGGGCTCGTAGTGTATTGGTGCTAATTTCAACCCTTCATCTTTTGGCATGGTTATGATTGATGTGAGCTGGGATTAGTCCAATAAAGTAGCTGAGTTATCCCAAACCATTACACTCTTTAATGCATTTACATTAACTTCAACTATTTCTGTATGTTGCCCTCATATAACCTGCAATATATCCTATTATTACTGGATCAAGCATGTCCATTTTATGCTTCTACAGCATTTGTGCCTTTTACCTGATGCATATCTGTATTTGGAAAACCGCAGCAGTTATTGAATTGATTAATATATGAAACGTTAGATTATTATTTCTTATTACTAGCATTTACATACATATATATTACTAGCATTTAAATATATATGTGTGTATGTGTATATAATATTACTAGCATTTAAATAGCGCCAACATATTCCACATCACTTTATAATTATAGATATTTGACAAGTAGGTGACCTGCAAAAAGAGGTGGGTTTTATTGCAAGACCTTTTTTATCTACTCTTATATAATACTGTTCTTTTGAATTTTGTTTGTACTGATCAGTATTGCCTACCATTTGCACTCTAGGTATTTTAAGAACTACATATTCAATGACTCTTAGCCAGGTTAAAGCATGCATAACACATAACGGGATGTGGTGGTTCTCGAAATGCCTATGGGTTCCGAGGTTAGCCACCACTGATAAGGTGTATTGGCTAGATCTATAGATGAGTTACATGCAAGGTATGGGCCACCTATAGAATTTCTAGTAACAAGAAGTCATGTGGAATGTGTGATTGAGAAATGCAGAGCTACACTTTAATTTCAATACCAAACAAACCATAAAGAACAGCAACACCAAAATCTATACCCCGTATTTTCAACAGCAGTAGGTGTTGGAATTCAAAAAAATTCATGAAATGGCTATTTCTCCAGCACCCAAGCAGGATGTGCCAATCTGTTTACGTTGTTCTTATTCCCCAGTAAACTACTTGTAGTCTAACGACATCATAACTAACTTTGTCACTGGTCTTTGGGTTCTATTGCACTGTCAGTTGTTATTAACTTCTGTTTACTCTCCATCTTTTACAATATACTAAGAGCCCTGCAGAGCAGTTGTAAATGAAATGCCTTTTTTGTTGCCAGAAGCATGTACCTCCGGTATATGCAGAGATAGGATGTCTGTTACATTGCATACATTTTGCTTTGTAGTGGTATAAAGGCTCAGGGGACTTTCCAGAGGTCTCTTAAGCTTGCTTTGCATTATCTTCACAACAAGAAGGTGGGCTTCAGCACAGGACACAAAAGCAGTCCTTTAAAATGGGGCAAAAAAAAAGTTTATAAGGCTTCAAATTTTAAAATAACAAAAATGACCTCATCCCAAAAGTGAGACCGCAGACATTTAGATTACCTCATCTTTCTATTGGTAATTTAATTGTAATCATTTTAGCATATTAACATAGCACAATGTAATCTATGAACAATATGACATAATATTGACTGATGAAACACTTATTCCTCCTTTTGTTGTCATTATATAGTTTTAGCCCTTGTTGCTAGTGTTAACGTGTCCTACAGAAAAACTAGTGATAAAGTAAGCAATTGCTTTACATGCATGCCAGCATTTTAGTTGGTTAAAGAGAGGTGCTTTAAATTTAGTGTTGTGGCCAGTAGGTGGACACATTTTAGGGAAGTTTTAAGGGACTTTGTGACCTAATTGCCCCTAACAAGAAAATGTAATTTAGAATAAATTTAGACCAATATATTTTTATTTTCGCAAGCTAATTTATTTACACATTTACTGTAGTTTTTTTCAATTTGACAATTTGTATTGCTTTTTAGGGTACAGAAGAGAAGAGGTGGTTAGAGGGGGGGGGGGAGGGTTTACCCAGTGATCCATAATCATTCCAGTACCCTTTAAATACATCAAATTTAGCAGATAATTTAACATTGTCCACTTTCTCACTCTCAGTTGAGTATTGGGGGTTATTCAAGTGTAAAAGCTTTCTGGGGTAAACCTGTGATCAGTGTGGTGATATGTTGGGCCTACTTCGTTGCTCTTAAAGGCTCATAGTAGTAGCATATAGGTGGGGTCATCGGTGGCTGGGTGTCATGGCTCAATGGGGAGGGATTCATTTGGGGCGGGAGCAGGGAGAGTAGTTGTCTCTGCAGTTTGCTGGTGGCAATGACTATTGTGGTGTTATCTTTGCACCTGTCTGTTGCATGTGTTTCAATGTGTATTTATTGGGGCTGTTATGGCTGTTCCTGCCATCTTGCCTGGTTCTTGTTGGTGGTTCTTCATTATGAGAAAATACTTGTTTGTCCTGTGTTTATGGGGGGGGTGGGGGAGGGTGAGCGAGTGGAGAAGAAGGGTATGTCTCTGGGGGGCATCGGCCCCGTTTTTGGGAATGCTTGTTTATATTTCTTAGGGGGTGTTTAGTGTGATTCTGTGATTTTTGCCATGTCGTCCACGCTTCGGACAAGAATTTGGCGTTTGATTGGATGCGTCTGGCCATATTTTCGTATTGACTGTTGGTCTCCACCACCTGTATGCATTGATCAATTGTGGGGGAAGTTGTTGCTTTCCACTGCCTACTGATAACTGTGAGGGCTGCTATGATGATGTGATAGAGGAGATAGCATTGTTTTTCGGTAGGAGCAGGAGTAAGATTGTCTCGGGTCTGTAAGGAAGTCTTATTCCTGTGCAGTTTTCTGCTAAAGCAGCCACTTCTTGCCAGTATGTAGTGAGTAGAGGGCAGTGCCATCAGGTGTGGATCATTGATCCTTTGTCTGTTTTGGCATCGCCAACATGTATCTGATGTGTCGGGGAAGCTTTGTTTAAGGAGTGTGGAGACTAGATACCATCGGTATAGGATTTTGCATGATAGTACAGCATGGGACATGCATAGCATCATCGGCCAATGGGCTGAAAATGTCTCTTTCCATTGGGAGTCGGTTAAGTTGTGTGTTTTCCCATGTCTTTTTAAAATGGAATGAATTTATTCTTTGTGTTAAGTGTTATATACTATTATACTATTGAGATGAGTTTTTTAGGTAGCTTGAGCTTTAAACATATTTTCTACACTTCTGTTAATTGCAGTCTTGATAGTTTTACTATTATGGATGTTGGTTGTGTTTTCATCCAAGATTGAAGTTGCATGCAGGAGAAGTGAGCTATATTAGGTAGTTTGAATTGCGCCTGGAGTTCGGTGAATTTTTTGAGGTTGGAATCTTGGAGAAGTTGGGACATAGTATGTGTCTGCTCCAGATCAGATAGTTAAAGTCAGGAATGAGGAGTGACAAGGTGACTAGTGGTAGGGCTGGACAGGTGTGCTGTGCTATGCCCAGGTTATTTTGGTAACTCCCATAGGGTTATGGTAAGTTTTGTTGTGGGTAGCATGTTGTGGCTCGTGGGTCGCCTATCTTTGGGTAGCAATGCCAGCTGCGTTAGGGGGATCCCTTCAGTGAAACTTCGTTCTATCTGCATCCATGCTAGCGGGTGTGTGGTGGAACGAGGATAGCAAGGGGGCAATGTGAGCAGCCCTGTAGTAGCCTGACAGGTCCGGCATTCCCATTCCGCCATGGTTGAACAGTTTGTACATTGTCGATTTTGCTACTCAAGGTTTGACGTTCCCCCATACAAATGAGTTTAGGATCTTTTGCATGTCCTGGAGATACTTTGCTGGGAGTTGCAATGGAAGTGTTCTAAATAGAGATTGGATTTTTTATAAAATACCATTTTAGCTGCCGCTATCCTGCCAGTCCACGAGAGATGTTTTCCCCGCCACCCCTGCAAGGTGTTGAGTCCGATAAGTATCTTGGTTTTGGAACCCTGTGGACCCGATCAACCAGCAGCATATCTGCAGGGATTTCTGGGGCATAGGCATGCATAAGGCCCCATGCATATACTTGGAGGTTGCACAGGTTATTTTTTTGTGCCCTGTCCTCAGCTTCGGCCATGCAGGTTTCCATAGTCTCCAGTCTTGTACATGATCTGCCATATCGTTGTGTGCGCGGAGACCATTTCCTTGCATTTTTTCTCCATGTGAGATGTTCTAGTGGTCCGGTCCAGGACCTCTTTCTTTAGTTGGTCTGCTGTGGATTGCCACGAGTGTATGAGCTTAGAAGACATAGCTTCCATGGCTCGCTCAAAAATTTATTTTGTAAGGCTTTCGGTTGTTTTGAACACATTCGGAGTTGCCATGTGGTTGCTGGCATCTGAATCTTCAGCACAATCTTGCAAGGGAGCCTGCGTGGCCTCGGATGCGGAGGATGGTTTCTGGCTGAAAACATTAATCTTTTTAGCTTTAGAGGTAATTGTTTTGTCTTGTGTTGAGACATGCTGAGATGGGGAGATTCTGAGGTTTCTGCGGTGTAAATTATCGTTAGATCTGGAGCCCATGTGCCAGAGAAATTTCTTACGCGGCCATCTTGCTCAGCGGTCAGCGGTATACATTTACTGTAGTTTAAAGACAGATTATTGTAAGTTTTATTGCCGTGATGTTTTCATATACACTTAAAGACACAAATGTTGCCATTCCTAGAGAAGAGAGGATTTGAGTGTATCGACTACCATAAGGACAGCACTTCCTTAAAATGGAAGACTTGAATCTGCTGAGCATTCTCTCAGATTTATAGTTTGGGTTTGTTTTTTTTTGTTTTTTTTGTTTTTTTTAGCAAAGCATTCTTTTATAGGTAGCCACTTAATTTCCATTTGCTGTTATCTCATTTATATTTTTTATCTGCTATGACCATTTTGACGTTTCATTGCAATCTTTGTTTAGTTAATTTGCCCTTAGGTGTGGTTCTTAGCCATTCAAAAAATGCATTGCTTTTCTTCGTTGTTTAGTGCCAAATCACTTGTTTACGGTTTTCAGCCAATGCAGAGATTTGTAACACGGCAACTTGTTGTGTATAGAGACATTACCTTAACTATCAAAACTTTTTAAAGAAAAATGAAAGCTGTTTTTGGGCCAATTGAAAAATGTCTAAATATGCATTTTATTAATATATACATTACATAAAGTTAATTCTACATGTTTTGAATTAATGACTAGATGGTGATTTGAGAGGGTTTAGGTAAACAGAAAATGTGTATATCCGTAGTTTCATCTAGTAAATTATGTCTCCTTTGTAAGTGAATGTGGGTATCTCAAATATATTCATAACTGTCTTCAGCCGGGGACTTTTTTGTTTGTTTGTTTCACACCCATGGAGTTGAGCGAGGTGCTTTAAGCAGATGAGATCCTGAACTCGTTCACAGCCCACTGGAGGGCTATGAGATCATGAAAATGCCAAAGCTCTGAGCAATGCGACTTATTCCTAGCAGCGGGATTGTAAAGCAGAAGACATGCAGTATGATCTCACCTTCTTCCCTCCCCTATCCTCTAAACACTGGCGCACACACAATCTTTTTCTTACATTGTCCTCAGGGTATTAAGCGTTCTAGGATAGCTCTAATCTATTTCTGAGTCCTTAATCAGTGTAACACATGCTACGGTCTTTTCATCTGTAACACAGCAGTATATGCAGTACTGTACACTGTGTGATAGCACTAGTCCTTGTATTATGGAAACACCAACGGGTTTTGTTTAGTGCCAAGGAAACGGCAAATCACTAGCTTACGGCTTTGAGCTGAAGCCGGGATTTGTAACACACACCGTTCATTCGGTAGTTATTGATGTCATCATTTATGAAGCACTAACAAAGACTATGACCAGTAATACTGAACAGCAGCAAGATGAGTGAAGTCTTTTGTATACCTAAACACAACTTAAAACATTATTCTCTTAGCACTTTGAGCAAGATGCTTACTGTTCCGGCATGCCAACAGTTAAAGCTCTAATATCTAAAAATGTAAGAGAGTTTTTGTTTCTTCATATTGGTAAATTAGTCTAACAGATTGGGAACGTATTTAATGTTTTATTGTACTTTGACTTACCGAAAGTGACATTTGTGCCTTAACTCGAAAGATAATTACTTAACAGCTCCCTTAGCAACAAGCGTTAATGGCATGGCATAGCTGTATACTCCAGAGCTCTGGCCTCTCGGGAAATTGAAGATATTTCTCCCAAGTGCATAAAAACCTCCTTAAATCTGAAATGCTCTAACGATCACTCTTTTAACCTTTTGTTGCTGGCTACTCTTGCAATGTAAAATTAGAGAGATTGTACATGTATGCGTAATATATATTACAATGTATGAACATCAACATGTAAATCATACATTTAAATTATTAACAATGATGAACACAATTTAAGGCCAAAATACCCAATCTGGAAATATTATCCATTTCAGCTTCTGTGTCTTAAAATTTAAAATTTACAGGGCGCGGGGCTGTCTGTCATGGCGAGAGGTCTCATTTCACAAGAGCTCGTACCAAATCCCTGCCTAAAGCTCATCAGCCAGCTCTAGTAGCCCTCCAACCGGGGTCAACAGCATACTCCTGTACCCCCCACACTTCCTGTGGTCACTTGCTGCTGTATGGTCAAAACCTGTAACCGCCATTAGTGGGGCCTGGCGAGCACTCGGGAAGAGAGAAGCGGCCGATCCCTCTGTCAGGATTACAAGTTGATCCAGCACGTAGAATTGTATCACACCTAGGATTAAAAGGTAATGTCTTACCGGGCCTTACAAGGGCCAGACTTAACGTACCAAAGAATAGTCAGAATACTTGCCGAGGTCGGGGATACAGAAAGAGACACAACGATGAGGGAAAGCCAAAAGTCAGGCATACCAGAATACAGGGAAGTCAAATACCAGAAATAAACGCTCAGGAACACACTCTCGGACAACCACTAAGGGAAACCACTACAGGACAATGAGTAGAAGGAGTAGGTAAGTTTAAATATCCTTCTTGTGGATCCGATTGGCTGTAACCAGCCTTTGACTCCATAAAATGCGTGTGCGTTCTTTACGTGACGTCACGCACACGTCAACGTTGTCAATACCATGGGAGGACGTGGGGTTACAAATTTGTGTAGATCCGCAGCAGCCGGCGTCCATCAACATGCTGCAGGGGTCCGACATATTGACGCATGGCCGCTGAATGGCACTACCACACTTATTGGCAAGGCAATTATATTTAGTGTCGCATTGTGAGGATGAACATGTTACACTCTCAGCCTGGCGCAGACAGGACTCCACCACGCTGATGCCCCGCAGCCCATCCCCTCCCTCCCCCCCCCTTTGGACCGGTGGGGTGATCCCGGTCCCCACCCTGGAAGCTCCCCAGACCCATCTGTGCCCTGTGGTAGAGCCGCAATCACTGACAACACAGACAGAGGTACACTTAAAATGGCGGACACCACGTGTTCCCTGACCTGCCTGGGAGATATGCCTACTATCTCATGCCATCTGGACGAAGTGTTTGCTAACTGCTGGAGGAGGCTGAGGGACAGGTGGGCCCGAGCACGTTCAGTAAGTAGTCCACCCTCCGCTGGGCTTTCCGCGACTCACCCACTGCCGACCTGCACCTATCACTGCACCACCAACCCACAAGAGGAGGCAGAGGTCAAACAAACAGGCCTCTAGGAGGCGAGCTGCCCGACCAGCACAACAACTGCACGGGGTCAGTGCAGCAAGATGAGGTAAGGAGCAGACAACTAGAACCCCTACAAGACCAACTGCCTGAACATGCAGCACCAATCCTGAGGCTCTCCACAAATCGGGAGGACTGTAACCAACCTGCTAAGGGCATTGTCAGAAGCTAGCCAGACACCCTACAGCATCCTACTTCACCTTTATGCAAATTTTGGTTTTCTTTACTTTATCAGCATTTATTTTTAAATCTGTTGTGAGCCTGATTCTATAATACCCAGGGAACAGTATAGGGTGGCCCACTCTGGGTAGTTCAAAGTTCTCAAGCATGCCTAAATCACTCTTTATACCTACATTATCTAGCATGTATACTTTCATATATTATTTGACATGCACTACTCTCCATGTCTAGTTACCCTTATTTGAGTCACAGCAACAGTCTAACATAGTACCTAGATGTGTGTCCAGACTATTGAAATAATAAAAATTTGCAGTATTCTAGAAATGCCATACAAATGTTTTACCATGCCTTATGTATGTTGGCAATTGCTGCTGGGCCATTGCCAGCTTGTTGTAATGCTATGCACAGTAAAAATAAAGAATTTTTAAAAATGTAAAAAAAAAAAAAATGAAATTTAATGTGAATTCTTGACCATTCTCTGTTTTGAGTAACCCCAAAAATGATTGTATAATACTGAAAAAGAACCCCTGTTTTGACATAAGTTCTCTGTGTACCACCTGTAAAGACTTTGCTAAAACATATCAACATATAGTCTTTCTCAAAGAAGACACCATTTATATCAGCCATTTTCGCCACGTTTATCACAAACTTTATATGTTCTGACTGTTAATATTCATTGTTTTACTGACACAAAATTATTGATCCCACCTGTTAAATGACTTCTGCAGTTGTATACACACCATTTTATATCCATCTCTATCTTTCAATAAATAGTGTTAATAAAATACTTTCAGATTTTTACATTGTGAAACATTGTTGTTAAGCTGTAGTGCATGTGACACATACTTAATCAACTCCTTAAATCATGACATGTTGTTGGAAACCGTAGCTCTAAGGGATAGTTGGTTTGGAAAACTTGTTACTTCTGGTACATAACTTGGAAAGTGGTGAGAATGACTGGCACAGATAGCCTATGTTTTTGCATTCCAGATTGGTCCATCTGTTTTAATGTTTACAAACTGCTTTACTGTATTCATATGATCGCCAGGTGAATAGCCCAGTCCATAGCACTGCTGTTCCTCATTTCAAATATCCATTAGAGTCCTATTATCAAAATAATCAAATGTCATGTGCTGTATAACTCTGTCTCCATAGGGTAAGTTTTACCTGCTAATCGAAGAGCTCAGCCAGCTGTTCCGTTCCCTGGTGCCTATCCAGCTGTGGTATAAATACATCATGGGCGATGATCCTTCAAGTACCTACTTCTTAGGAGGCATTCTCATCATCTTGTACAGCCTGTGTAAGGTGAGCTATCCTTGACTGTCTATATATAACGATAGCAGGTTTTGAAAAAAAGTGCAAAAACAGAATGAGCAGTAAAAAGTAAAAAATTTTGCTTTTTTTTTTTTTTTTCTCTTCCTAAATGCTTTATTCATTTAATCTATGCACTTCTATTCTACCAACCTTTCAGCCAATGAATACTGTTCAAATCTAGTATGAGCTGGTATGATAATGTTGTAGTTTGAACTCCCCCTATATCAAGCCAGCTCAGAACAGAAGGACTGTTCATCCAATATAGCAGTGTAAGCGTCAAACTATTTGTAAACAATTTGACAGATTATTGACAAACAGTGCCTTGGGACTCCTGGCACCATATCTAATGTAAAATGCTCTTGCTTGCTTCAAATAGCAAATACTCATGTCTGTTTAAAAAAATTGTTGTTGTTTTTAAATCCAGTCCTTTGATATCTGTGGTCGTATCGGAGGCCTACGGAAAGCACTGAGGATTCTTTGCCACCCTCAGGTATTTTATTTTGATTTGATTATCTTTATTTTAAATTTTTCTTATTATTTTATATATTTTTAACATACATTTTAATTGAATATAGAAGAAAAAGAACACTGCAAGTATTCAGTAGCATATATAGATAAGAACCGGTATAATCAATATCTACCATTACACACAGGTGTTTGAAAGTCTGAACATTAATTCACACCACATAAAATGTATCTTGTGCACTGGAGCAGCACCCCGTCTTAAAGGGACACTACAGTCACCAAAACAACTTTTGTTTAATGAAGCTGTTTTCGTGTATAGATCATGCCCCTGCAGTCTCGCTGCTCAATTCTCTGCCATTTTGGAGTTGTCACTTTGTTTATGCACTCCTAGCCACACCTCCCTACATGTAATCTGCACAGCCTTCTTAAACTCTTTCTGTATAGTGAGATCTAATGTTTATACTTACTTTATTGCAAATTCTGTTTAATTTCCAATTTTGTATCTCCTGCACTGTTGATGGTTTGATAGACCTTGCACGAGCCTCTTGTGTGTGATTAAAGTTCAGTTTCAGGATATGTAACTTCTAATGTAAGTTAACATCTGATTAAAAATTAAACCATTTTTATGCAAGCTGTCAGTCACAGCCTGGGAGGTGTGGCCATGGCTGCGTAAACAGAAACAAAAGTGATTTAAATAACAGATAATTAAGCAATGAGACTTCAGGGGTATGATCTAGGCACAAAAACGGTTTCATTAAGCTAAAGTTGTTTTGGTGATTATAGTATTCCTTTGAGTACACAAAAAGTAAGAGGTGTGAAAAAAAGGTTTGAAAAGTAGGCGTTGGGGATAGAAGATGGATTATTATAAAACAATGGTGGAGCGAAAGGTTATTGTGAAGAACTATTTTTCTCTTCAGAATTTCCAATTCCATTGAAGCATATTCATACCAAGCAGCTCAAAGCCTAGCATTTTCTACTCTGTCAATCAATTGTTGTACTACATGCATTATCCAGGCAGGGGCAATGATTTTGCAGCATTTAGTAAAGGATCTTTGTAATACTAGATATCGGGCCGTTTGTATGATGCAAGAGCATTAAATTCAGTTTGAATGGTGCTGGAATACCCACAACTGCTCAGAGCTGATAGAGTGCAAATACAATGCTTTTTTTATAACTCCAAATAATCACTTGCAATTTATTTTTTTGTATCTTATACTCATTGGCCCTTGATACAACAGGTCAAAGAGTGAGATAAATGCATAGGTCATCTTCCCATTTAATCTTAGAAAGGAGCATAACCAGTTCTGGCTACAGAACCACATGTTTGAAATACCATTTTCAATATACTTGTGTTTGTCACAAATCTGTTTAAACTCTCATTTGTCTAAAGAGGTCTTGGTATAAGCGTATAGGGTATGTAGTACCATCAGGGCATAGCAGAATCACTCCAGCCTAGAGGATTAGCCATTTAGAAGCAGGTCCCCAGAATGCTCAACCACATTTGGTCATATAGATGTCTCAATCATTTGTGGTTTCCCTATCTTTCAAAAGAAGTTATAATCATAAAGCTTATTTACATCCTGAATTAACTAAATCCCAAATACTCTAAGGGGCCTATACATCAAGCAAATGGGATTGCTGATTGCACCCATTGCTTCTGGTACTGTGGCATTCAAAATCTCATACTTGTAAGTATTGAGATTGTGTGTGATGTTGCTCTACGAAGTACATCATCTACAAATGCAGACACTTTCAAGGTTATTACTAAAGTGAGAATTGTTAAATTTAATAGCTGACCTGGAAGCATGGCTGATTTGGAGAGTTGTTGCAGTTTGGCTACTTTGGCCTTAAATGTAAAATTTGAAACAATTCTTATTTTGGTAAATGACCCTGTTTACATTCTGTGTTTCCTGTGCTGGGAAATAGAGATGTTATCTTTTCTCTACATTGTGGCCATGAAGGTTTCAAGATTTTATAAGAAAGATGACAATGGTTATCCTAGTCTGGTGTCTCTCCAAATATGGACTTTGGACAACAGGGTATATTGATCCCCTGGTTCTACATACAATAACTCCACCAGTTTGCAAATATTACACCCCAACCCATATGACTCAAGTTAATATGCATAAAGCGCCAGTCTGCCTAGTGAAAAGCCTTCTATATAATCTTATATAACCGTAATTAGTGTCTATTGGGTTCTTTGAACAAATACATTTAATTTATTATTATCGCCATTTGTATAGCTCCAACAGATTCCGTAGCGCTTTACAATATTATGAGAGGGGGGATTTAACTATAACTAGGACAATTACAAGAAAGCTTACAGGAACGATAGGTTGAAACGAGCATACAGTCTATCGGAGGTGGGATGTAAAACACAATAGGACAGGAAATAGCAATCAAATAAGATGGGAGTGAAGCAGAGCTGGAGGAGAGAGCAAGTATGTAAGGTAGAGGTTACTTGATGTTCTTATTGTTTTGTCTCTTGACCCGGTATAAAACCAGATTTATCTAGGTGAGCTAGGGCCCAGTGACCCATCTAAATCTTTATGATGAATTCCTTTAAACAAAAAACTGTTGGTCAACATGGAGTATGGAAATTGAATTAGAACACTGGGCAAGTTTCAGGTCCTTATCCTCCTTAGTATGGTTGGTAATGTGTGCAGGAGAAGTACCTCTGTGAAAAGTCCCATTCTCTTAGACTGAGTTGAGGACAAAGATTCTCACCACACAATTTATAATATTTCAAGGTTAGAAGTATAATTAAGATTTGCAGAGCATTTCATTTCTGACTTCTATGTTTGATGCCTCGTTTCCTTGCTATCACACCTGTACTGATAAAGCAAAAATTTGTGCCATGTAGTATTGGATATCATTCTCTCGTTTGCTTTCTTTAATTTGAAACTTTGTGATATACACACTTAATCCTTTGTGTGGTTCACCTTAGCACGAGATAGTGTAGTAGGTGTACATTATGATATGATGCTATATGGTGGTTAATGCCTTAGGTTCGTGTCTAAAGATACTCTATTGATTCAACCTCCTGACCTCATCTGATTACTTAAGTACTTATGTTTTTGTGTATTTTCCCTACCTTAATGCCTCCAAAACACACTCCGTGTAATGGGATTATATAAATAAATAATTAGGTTTCTCTTCTCTTTAACCTTTTCTTGTCCAAGCAGAAGTATGGAGTCCGTGCCACCAGCCAGCAATGCAGTGAAGCAGGTGATATCTGTGCCATTTGCCAAGCAGACTTCAAAGATCCATTGATCCTGATTTGCCAGGTAAGATTTATTTAGATTTGTACTTTATTTTCTGTCTCCAATTCAAAGAAAATCTACATTGTAAATCAGTTATATTGTTATTAGAGTGACCTTTTGCTGGCAGAGGATTGAGCAGTACACACATTGTTTGCCCCTAAAAAGTTTACAATAACTCTGTTTTTTAACCCCTTAAGGACTAAACTTCTGGAATAAAAGGGAATCATGTCGTGTCCTTAAGGGGTTAAACACATGAGCGATTCCCGTTTTGCTAGATTGTCTGTTTTTCCATGCATCCAGGCAAACGTTACTGAACATAAGATAATATTTAGTTTTATATACATTTTGCTAACTGTTTGACTGGCACAGTGTATATGTAAGATTATTAGGTACAATCACAAGTAAAGTTTATAGAAACATTTTGCTTGCATATAACTCTGTGTTTGTAGTATACTACAAGAAACCGTTTCACTCTTTTATTCCATAACATCAGGTAACAAAGAAATGTGGGCTATTGAGACATTACTACCTAGTTATTAATCCCTCACCCCACTGCACATTGTGTGTACTAAGATGCCTTCTCTCGTTGCAATGAGAAGTTGATTCTTATTATGTCTTTAGTGGATATAAAGAGGTTTAGCAGAGACCTGCATGTTTTCTTATTTAAAGAGGGGACCAAGATGCCAGTCCTGGGAACTCCATATTTTTTATGTGTGTGCATGTATGGGAATGAGGGCTTTGTACAAAGAAAATAAAGAAATGGAGGATGCAACAAGGAACGGAAAGGAATGGTGTACTGAACAGTGCAATAGCCTATATAAAACTTAACATTTAATGAGTCAGATAAAAAGTCCAACTAATGGACTGGAAAAAACAAGATTAACCGCAAACAAAAAAAATAGTACTATAAAAAGAATATAAAAAACGACTAGGAAAAGTGTGGGCTGACACCTTGATACACTCTTGTGGGAGCACGAGATAAACAAAATATGGATAAAGGTGTCAAGCCTCTTAAATAGTTTAGTGCAGGAAATAGTTGAGATAAACCCACTCTAAATACTAGCAAGTAATAGTAGAATACTGTATCAATAGCCCAGCAAGATTTTGTGTACAGGAGTGTATATGGCTAACCAGAGCAGATAGGGGTGGTATACATATCTCTAGTATTTAGAGTGGGTTTATCTCAACTATTTCCTGCACCAAACTATTTGAGGTTTGACACCTTTATCCATATTTTGTTTATCTCTTGCTCCCACGAGAGTGTATCAAGGTGTCAGCCCACACTTTTCTAGTGGGTTAATATATTTATTTGTATGTGTGTCAATTTTTATATTCTTTTTATAGTACTATTTTTTCATTTTTGTTTGCGGTTAATCTTGTTTTTTCCAGTCCATTAGTTGGACTTTTTATCCGACTCTTCAAATGTTAAGTTTTATATAGGCTATTGCACTGTTCAGTACACCATTCCTTTTTGTTCTTTGTTACATCCTCCATTTTTTATACCTACACAAAATGCAGGTTATGGTGCGTGAAGTGTTCCTTTATCAAAATGTATTACTAGTTTAAAGGAACATGACAAACGCCATAACCACTATACCTGGGGTCCAAAGAGTGCCCATACCCTCTCCACTACACCTGCAGAAGATTTAGACACTCCTACCCAGGAGATTCTATTAGCTCTCCAGAGCTAAGCCCTTTACCTCCAAGCTTAGCTGAGACAGAGAGCTTCTGGCTTCCTGTAGCTGTAGTGGAGGCAAAGAAGCAGTGCCAAATGGACCCAAGATAAGAATTTACACCACTTTAATAAGGTTTAATAATTTAGCACCATATCCAGTACAGTGTGCTGTAGTGGTTATCATGTTTGGAGTGTTCCTTTAAGCAGGGCACAGTCATTTGTACTGCTATTGGTTTCTGACTGGATAGTGACATGTTTTATATGTGTTAGCCAAAAGTATAATGTTTAACCTGCTAGCAGACAAGTCATATCACTTTATTTTCCAATTATATTTATTTATACAAAACTTTGACAGCAATTTTGATGACCCAGATTTTTTTTGCAAGAATACTTCGAAATAATAATACAATTCTGTAATATTTCTGTAATGTTGAGATTTACATAGTTAACATGGTTTATTGTGCTCGTATTTACCACTACAAGGCAGTTCATGGTCTGTTTCATGTTTTACACTGATGTCTTCAGGCTTTCTGAACAATGTCTTCTCCTTTCCCACAGCATGTGTTCTGCGAGGAATGCTTGTGCCTTTGGTTTGACAGGGAGCGAACTTGTCCTCTCTGCCGCTCTGTTGCAGTGGAAACACTTCGCTTATGGAAAGATGGCTCCACATCTGCTCACTTTCAGGTCTACTGACACTGCATGTTAATTTATGCATAAAATGCCGTATATAAGACTATCTTCTCTAACCACAAAGAGCCTAATGACCATTTCTGTGGTTTTCCATTGGTGATGATGTTCTAATTGCCGTACTCATGAACTTTGAAGAGCTGAACCTGTGATTAAAGATCCCTAAGCCTGTTGGTCGAACTTGAGCTGTGCAAATCATTATTTCTATTATATGGGTTTGTGATTTATTCTACCAGTTTTTCCGGCACACATGCTAGTGATTAAAAAGTTTAGTTGACTGGATCCATTGAGGAGCATTGACAATCAGTCAGGAAGTATGCTAACGCCTGTTTGTGTTGTCTCTCTGTATATCGTTATTATATGAACACTTTGCATGCATGACTTGTATCAATGAGATTTGTGGCACGGTACATTCTAATGCAGATATCTATCCTGCAAACACTCTTTCTTCATGTAGTTGCATTTGTTAAACTCAGTGGTACCAAATGTCTCAACAGATTATTTTTGCTGTCGTGTTGAAATAAAAAAAACCATTTTTTACAAAAACATTCCTAACTAGATTATTAGACTCCCGCTACTGTGGAGCTATGTTTTAACATGTGCATTAAGTGACTGAGCATCATGGAAGTTTTACTGACATTAGCTAGCAAACTACTGTGCTAATTTGTAGAGGTTTGTAACAGAGCTAGAATAGAACATTTGAAATTAACACGGTTATGTTAAATTGGACAGCATAACATCATCTTTAACCCATTAAGGACCAAACTTCTGGAATAAAAGGGCATCATGTCATGTGTCCTTAAGGGGTTAATAGTGAATTAGAATTATTTCTGATTTCTCTTCTCCTATAACACAAGCCACAAGCCCATGACTGCAGCCGAACTGGAGATTTGGCCCGTATTGCTATTTTTGTCCTATCTTTTTTTTATTTTTTATTATTATTATTATTTTTTTTACTTGTATTCTCTTTATAAAAAAATATGTCCGGAAATATTTTTAAAAATGTATTAACAAATGGCCTTTTTTTCACTCTAGAATAAAATGTGTACCACTTTAACATCTGTATAAGGCTGCCATCTATAAGTAATCCTTAATTCTGTAAACCTGAATCAAGGCCAAAAATCTACCTATTTTGCTTTTACCCTTTTTTGTTTTTGTACTATGTAGTTGGGCTGATGAATACCGTAGCCATTGCCGCTGCCCAGAAGTAGTGGGAGTTTAAGCGCAGAGCTTAAATTTGTGTATTTGAATCAATGCCAGCTTGGGGGTGGAATAAACTCTAGGATCCTGATTAGTTTAATATTACAATCTTTGGCAGCTTTCCAGACTTGCTAAACTTTCCCACTGAAATCGATGCAGAGCCAACTTGGGACAGTTTAGTGCAGGTCAGATGATGCTTCAGCTCTTCTGGGAGTTCGGAGCACTAAATAGTTGCAATGTCTTCACTGGGTGTAATTTTGGAGGTTTGTGAATACAGCTTAGGAGATAAAAGAATCAATTTTACCTCTGCAGAAATTCACTTCCGCAGTTGTTCAGTTCAATGTTGCAAATGCTACATAATTGTTTACCCACCTGTGATAAACGTGCCTCGTTTTTATAAAACCTTCTCAAATTGCTAGAGTGGAAGGGTGGAATACATTAAATTGGAGATACAATCATTTAAATCCATTCAACAGGCTTGCCCCAAGTAAGTAAAATTAAGGAGACAGTCTTCGATAGCTACATCAAAAGTGGCACTGAAATAAGATCCTTAAATGGACTGCCCTATTTGCTTTTTCAATTTTTTGAAATCCAGAATGGACTGCCCTATTTGCTTTTTCAATTTTTTTTATTTATCACAATCTTTAAAGCAAAAACATAATTCTAAATCTCTCTGTTTATGGCACACACAACACCCCCTGGTTCAATCCAGCCCCTCTCTATGAGAAACATTGAAGCTTGCCATCATAATGCTGTGTGTGATTATGGCAAATGTAAAAACTTTTGAAAATCAAATAGTAGCTGTCTGTGTGAAAGCCACCAAAGGTGTGGTTTTAGCACTGTTTCTCAGAAATTGTGTGTTTTACATTGCCCAAGAAAATGGACATCATCTTTGCATTAAAGCCACTATATTAAGATGATTTTAGTTTTCGCAATGAGGCTGTTCAATGCAGATACAATTTACAAAGTGATCATTTTATGTAAGTACAGTTACTCTCTAGAATTCCCAAACTGTTTGATAAATGTGTAGTACTTTGTTTCTAAATATCAACATATAATTCACAAAATGAGGAGAAAATAATTACATATTACATATTTGGGTTCAGAGAAAGAATTTACAGCTCCAAAAATGTTCTCGCTTCATGAGAAAATGACCAAATGTTTCAAATTAAGTAGGGCAGTAATTCAGACTTGTAACCACAAGAGGTCCTTCTACATCTCTGTCTAAATTTCACTGCACTGTACTGAGAAGGTATTCTATTTTTTTTATTACTTTAGTTACATTTTCTTAAAAATTGATTAATACAACAACATTTTAAAAAGTTTATTTTCTGAATTAACAGACCCCGTCCGTATATTTAAATTTTATAATGTTAAAGGTGGGAATATATTTTGTAATTTGCTCATTAGCAATTCATGGAGAATACTGGAAATGTTGTACATAAAACAGGCTCTCTCAAATTCACTCCGCAATAAACTGTGCCGTAGGTAAATTATTTCCCAACTTAACCTAACTGTGTACTAATACGGTTTCTGAACAGATTTACAAGTCCAAAATATGCTCTATTGCAGGGGTGCCCAAAAGGTAGATTCCCAGATGTTCTAAAACTACAACTTCCATGATGCTTTATCATTCTAAAGGCATGCAAAGCATTGTGGGAGTCACCCCTGCTCTATTGTATCCACAGTATGTAAAACGCTGGTTCATTAGTCAGCTCTTTTGTACTTGTCACGATAAGCGTCCTATTCCACCTGGTTTCTCATGTACATAGAAAGTAGAGAGGACCAGCAGCTAATAAAAGCATACTTTTACTTACAAGGGGAACTCTCACTTCTCAGGATTTGGAATGTTTTTACTTCTCCCCTTTATTAACTCATGTGCACTGACGAGGTGTGAAAAATAAATGCAGAAATCTACACCACATATCCTGATCAACTGTTCTTTTCACCTAGCAGTCAGCATAGAGAAAGATGAGAAATTAACCTACGTTTCTCTCTCTCTCCTCTTCATTTTCATAGTTTACCTTGTCTGAACTGCTAAGTACTTAGTATAAATGTAAGCAATAAGAGAGCATCACGTGACAAACGGTAAACACACCATAGGTGATTTTCAATGTTCTCTTCTGAAACACAAGTTTTAGAGAAGTGATTGTTCTACTTTAAACCATATAGAGGTGCTTGACTTTAAGAAGTAGCTCTTGCACAGAACGAGGGTCGGTGGCAGATTCCTGTGTGCTGAGAAAAGTCAGTTTGCAGTATGCCGTGATGTTCTTATGGTCCTCTCAGTCCGAATATACCTCTTTGTTGCTTTCTCAGATGATGCATTTCGCTTTAGGTTGGTTATGACCTATTTCTCCTCCTCTCTAAAGTCCGTCTGTTTAGGGGCATTTAACTTGTTGAACACAGTCATTGGACATGCTACATTTATACCTTACCCTTATATTTGTAAAATGAAGAGTAAACAGAATCTATACGCACCGGGCCACAAGAACACAATAAAAAAAACAGTGTAGGTAGTGAATATAGACATATCTAAAGACAATTTATATAAAACTGATATATACACAAATTGACTCATAGTAGCTAGATTCTAAGACAAATCTGACATGCAGGTAAATGAAGAGCCGCTTCTATTTAAAGTGCCAAGTAAGAGAACACACAACATTAACTGTAAAACCTCACAATTTAACAAGTCTTAAATAGATAAAGCACAGATTATGATGCATTAACACCTATAATTTGTCTGCATTATATGATCAGCTTTATTAAGAGTATTAAATATAGGTTACAGAATTTGAACGTTGATTTTATAAATACATATTAATGACAAAAGCTAGCTTTCTTGTTATATGTTATAAACTAGGAATAAAGGGGAAAAAAAACCCTTGTAAGTAACATTCCTTGGTGAGTGTAGGACTCACATAAGAAGTTTTGCCTTGATGGGGCAGGCGAGCTTACACTATAATGGCCACTAGAGCAATACAAAAAAAGTTATTCAAATGTGCAGATGTATTTGTTTTAAATGTTTTTTTTTATTTTTCATTGTAAAGTAAAAGCAAACATTTCGTAGTTTTCCATAAAGGGCACATGGTTGCTTACGCAGAGGCTTAAAGGTCACAATGCGTAAGTATAACTTAGTCAAATACATTCAGCAGCGTATGCATAGTGTGCTATCACAAAAAAAAATCACAGTGCCGTATCAGAGGTGGAGTATAGTGCAGCAGGCTTGAACACGTGTATTTATATATTCATCATTCCTACGTTAGGGCCGTTTAAATAAGCGAGCCTAGGAGCGTTGTGTGTTTAACTCATGTAGCATAGGCGTGTCTAGAAGTGGTCAGAACTTAAAGGAGAAATCGCCAAATTAGCTGTCGGGGACTATGCATTCGTATACTCTGGTATCAATGTGCAATGACACCCCTCACACTCACTGTATTTATAGCTGGTATCGAAAGTCCTGAATAGGGCGTCTAACATTAATAAAGGACTTCTCGTGTATGATTTAGCCTGTACGTCGTATGTTTTTAATTACATCATACTGAAAGTCTTATCTGCACCATCAATGTAGGCGATACAATATACCAATTATGCCTTTAGTTTACCTCTGGCTGTGACTGGGCTCCAGAAAAATTAGTCGATATGTGGTGTGCTATTGGTGTATTGATTATAACGGGCCTTAAAACTAAGGACTATGGGGGCAGTATAATAAAGGTATTGTGTGCGTATGTAGACGAAGTTCAACAATACCAAATTCTTAATTTATATGGAGCAGAGTATAGGTGCGGGGCTCTTTAAAAGCACGTGTGAGTGGGCATTCCACCCTTTGTTATGAAGCCCTAATATCATGCACTGTGGTTGCACCACATCAACAGAAATAATAAGTTTCCAATGTCTAGGCATGACACGCAATAATTAAAGGACCACTCTAGGCACCCAGACCACTTCAACTTAATGAAGTGGTCTGGGTGCCAGGTCCAGCTAGGGTTAACCCATTTTTTTATAAACATAGCAGTTTCAGAGAAACTGCTATGTTTATGAATGGGTTAAGCCTTCCCCCATTCCCTCTAGTGGCTGTCTCATTGAGCGGCTGTCTCCTGCACCACAGTCACCGCTATGAAGCGCTGAGTCCCACACATCTCACACTTGAAACTGCGGTACTCACCCCACGGTCACCGATATACCGGGGTCCGCACTCCTCAGCTTCACAGGGATCTCAGCGCTAGGGCAATCTTCTCTGGGCCCCCTCCAAACCCAGATACAGGGTCCTCAGCTTCCCCGGGGAGCAAGCCGCCCGGAGACTCATCAGCAGGCCAGAGGCCTTCCGGGTTTTTTTTTGTTTGTTTGTTTTTTTAAAGCTGCATTGAAGCGCCTCCATATAAATGCAGGTAATCTTCCCCATGTCTGCCCCAGATCTGTCTTATCAAAGCTGCTGGTGGGCTGTTCTTCAGGCAGCAGGCAGCCTTTGCC